GTTACCTTAATAGACTATTCGTAGAATTTTTAACTTTAACTGATCGACACTGGAAGAAAATACTATTTGTTATCCCTGACGAAAAGCAGTAAATTAATCAATTATTTCTGGAAGCTCTTAAAAAACAATGATTTCACACTATAGTCAATTATAGCATATCATTCCATGAATATATTAAACAGAATAAGTACAAAAATTAAAAATAAAACTATATATATATATATATATATATATATATATATATATATATATATATATATATATATATATATATATATATATATATATATAACGGATTTCTACGGTACGTGCCGCCTCTCCGTCCCCAGTTTCCATTTCTTTCTATCCAGACACATGCCTTCCTCTAGCCCTCTGGATGTCATAGCTTCATCTACCTCATTCCTCCAGCTTCTTCGAGGTCTTCCACGTTTTCTTTTCTCTACTGGTACCCACTCGAGTAGGCGTTTGGGCCATCTTGTATCGTCCATTCTTTTCGTATGTCCAAACCATATCAGCTGTTTTTTCTCTATTTGTTCTATTATATTTGTGTTCATGTTCATGCTTTTCCTTATGGTGTCATTTCTTACTCTTTCCATTTTTGATTTTCTGCAGCTACGTCGTAAGAAGTCCATTTCCGTCGTCATCAATTTGTTTCTGTTCTTTTTTGTCATATCCCACGTTTCGGATCCGTATGTGATTATTATCTGGACGATGCTAGTGTATATCCGTTTTTTCGTTTCTTTTGTAATTGTTTTATCCCATAAGATCGAGTTCAACTCTCTTATAACCTTTTTACCTTTATTGGTTCTTTCCTTTATTTCATCGTCACTGCTGCCCTGCTTGTTAAGTGTAACTCCTAGATATTTACAAGTTTTTACACCTTTGAGTTTATGATTTTCTAATATTAGGTCTTCTTGATGTTCGTTCCCTACTATTATATATTCTGATTTTTCCCAATTTATTGTAAGGCCAGCAGCTTGATATTCATCTTTCAGTTTTCGTATCATATAGTTGAGATCGTCCTGGTCTTCTGCTATGACTATCTGATCGTCCGCAAAATATAAACTGTACAATGGGTAGTCTCCCACTCTCAGTCCCATCTCACTAATCTTCCTACTCCATTTCTCTAAAGCCTTATCTAAGTATATCTTGAAAAGTGTAGGTGAGAGACAACAGCCCTGTCGTAAGCCTTTAGTGGTAAAGAATGCTTCAGTATAGTTTTTTCTATTTCTTACTCTAGTGGAATTATTTTTATATAGGTTTTTTATGGAGCTCCTTAAGTTATAGGGTATCTCTGCTTTTTCTAGGGTCATCCATAATTGCGACAATGGGATGCTATCGTACGCCTTTTCAAGGTCAATTAAGGCTATGTGCAATTCCCTATTTCTTTGTACTCTTTTTTCGCACGCTATTTTAAGCGTAAAGATATTGTCCACAGTTGAGCGCCCTGTTCTAAAGCCTGCTGGTTCTTCTGGTTGTTTATCTTCTATAGCTTTCTCAACCAGATCTCGTATTATTTTTGAGTATATTCTACCTATTGTACATATCACTGCAATTCCGCGATAATTTTTAGGGTTGCTCTTGTTTCCTTTCTTATGTATAGGCGTTATATAAGAATTTCGTCAATCTGTGGGCAATTCTTCACCATTTATGCATCTCTCAAAAAGTTTAGCCAAGACCTCGAACAGTTCATTAGGACCATATTTCAGAAATTCTGGGTATATTCCCCCTATGCCCGGTGCTTTTTTATTCTTAAGGTGTTTTGCTATTTTCTTCACATCTAGCTGTGTTATATATATCTTCTCATTTTCTCGTTCGATGACTTCCACCATATCGTTTGCAAATTCCGGCCTTTTTTCCTCTAATAGATCTTTAAAGTGTGTTGTCCATTGTTGATTAGATATGTTATTTGGAAATGCACAATTTTTCGCGTTTTTTCTGATATTCTTAATAGTACGCCATGCCTCAGAACTCCTAGTGCCTCCTATATATTGTTCAATATATTCGCATCTTTTCTCCCAACTATTATTCTTTCTATTTATTACTTGTCGTTTGATCTCCTTATTAAGTGTATAATATTTTTTCTGTAATTCTCTATTATCTCTGTCTTGTAATCGCTGTATATGTAATTTTTTCTTTACCTCAATCTGTTTCTCAATGTCCCTATCCCACCAATAGGGACCAAAATACCAAAAATAAAACTCTATATCTAAAAATAAATGAAAATAAAATTTCCTTTTTTTACGACTGCCTCGAAAATACGCGGTAATTTATAAAAATTGATGAATTCACATAATTTAATATCTAGAAGTGGCTTGATTTTGAAAAAAAGAAGGTTTTATCATTTTATTAAACTCTATAACATGGTATAGTTGTATTTTACCTAGGACGTTTCGTTTCCGAGAAAGCATCATCGACTCCAAGCTCGACCTCATTTTATTTAAACACGACATTTTATTTTCAGTCTTTGTTTTCTTTGGGCATTTTTTCGTTTTCTATTGTATTTTTTTATGCAAAAAGATTCCATAAAAAAATGATGATGGTGTCTAATGTATTTCCGAAGGAAGCAGAAACTTGGAAACGGTGAAAAGGAATTTTTAATATGAATTAGGACAAGTTTTTTAAAAAAATCCTTTTCCAGTTTTTTTCAATAGTATCCCAAAAGGTTCTTACTACTAGGAACTAGTGTTGGGACTAATCATTTGGCCGCTTCTTAATTGACTAATCATTATTTAGTAATAATATATATATTATAATACATTATTATGCATTTGTGATGTCCTATTTATGGTATGTTCAAGGGTGATCATTGACATACAATGCAACAAGATTATTACCTAAAGTTTCGGAATTTAAATTCATGTAAAATTGTGGTCCGTAATAGGAAATAATTTTATACCTACCTGTGTTTAATATTCTTTGGTTTGGTATCCTACTTTTCGTGTGTAATACAACGTGTGTTGAATCGTGTGCGAATTATGTAGAATGAAGAAAGCACTATTCTATTGAGACTAAGGAAGTTATAAACAATGTTTATTTGACTCTTATTGAACATGGTGCCAGCAAGCAAGCATCTTTAGAAAAAACGGCCACAAAAATTAGGATTTATAGAGAACAACATAGGCCAATTATTTACTTAGTTGAAACCTGGTTCGACACTGATGATACCCCCGAAAAGGGTTAGGTTGACTAAACTAATAAGTGTAAAATAAACGCGTAATCAAAAAGAGGATTACCATTAAGACACCACCGCTGATTTACTTGGAAGTTGGTTTAAAAACAAACTAGTTCCAAACATTCCTCCTACTAGCGTAATTGTAATGAACAATGCAAGTTATCACAGGAGACAGTGGACTAAAACCCCTTCCTCATGTGACACAAAAGCAACAATTCAAAACTAGATATTGTATAATAACGACATTTATTTTCACGAAGATTATACCAAAAAGCAATTCATTGAGGTTTTAAAAAGCTTGAACCTACAAAAGGAATATGTCTGAGATAATTATGCAAAAAATCTAGGGCACACAATTTTAAGGCTTCCACCTTACCACTGTATATTTAATCCCATTGAACATGTTTGGCACCAACTGAACTCTGCCATTCGTCGTAACAATGTTTTTCCCCGTGTTAACTCCAATGTCCTCAAACTTATAGAAACCGAAGTTTTTAACATCCCTCCACAAAGTTGGGCAAATTCTGTTAAACATATAGAAAAAACAGAACAATCGTATAGTCATATTGCAAATAATATAGAACAAATAATAATTAGAACAGGCGATGATAGCGATAGTGATACCGATCTATTATGTGAACAATTTTAAGTAATTTAAGTAGGTAATAAATAATTTGTAATTTTATTTTAGATTTAAACATAAATACATACATAAATAAATAAATGTTTTTTGGTATCTTTCCTAACAAAACCCCAAATAATTAAATTCTGAGCAAAGTACGGACCTGTTCGGCCAAATTTCTTTCTTACAGCTTGCCCGGGTCTTTCCTTAATTCGTATCAGTTAGTCACTTTCTTATATCTACGAACAGACCTTACCTATAACCCTCTATCCCAATAATAATATCGACTCCATTTGGTTCCCAGAACGACGCGAAGGCGACGTAACGCACAATATAAACAAATATAAATTTCATGGTATTTTTAAAAATATTTCGGTTAATTGACTGGTCAATTGACACAAGAAAATTTGACCGGTCAATTCCCCAACCCCACTAGAAACCGAGGATAACCTATCATCAATTATTATTTTTAAGCTCAGGCACTAATGACTTTAGTGTTCTTAAGAACGCTTGATCTGTAATAGTATATTTTTCAACAAGTATGATAAAATTATACAAAATGATAAAAAGTTTGGAGTACACTTTTGCAAAACAGACCTGACAAACGTCAAAATCTACCGAAAACGATCGTGCCCAAGCCCGTGACTAAAATACCGGAAACGCTGGAACGCACCCACGTGATCGGTGGTTATTTTAGAATAGAAGGGGTAGAAAAAAATGTTTTTATCCATACCGCGGTGATTTAACGGTATCGAACATATAAATTAGGAGAAAAAGACGATTTAAACGGAAGGGAAGAAGCTATCGGACTTCATGCGATCCTATATTAGCTGTGTTCCGCGGATATTCCAACGACACGGTGCTTAAATAAAACAATTAGCGTTCTTTCGATCGGGTCGCAGCAAAACCGATAGAAGATTACACAAGCTTTCTAACATTGGCACCGAATTTTGAATTTTGCCGACGAAAACCAATTTGGTCCGACGAAACGCAACTGCTGTGTAACGCGTTACTTAATTTAAGCAGGAGCAGGAATAAATAATACGGCTTGTTGTGAACAATTCATTTCGCTTCGACTCATTTTAATAAACCAATATTAAATACTTTGGTTCGGCACACGTTACTAAGCAGTATAGTACGTTTAAAGGCATTTTCTTTTTCCACCGGTTATGCAAAAGTGTTCAATCGCGTTGTTTTCAGTGATGCGATTATTCGCGGTTACAGTCGTTTAGTTTTCCAGTCATGCACTCGAGGAAATTGGTATTTGTTCTAGTCGTGTACGGTTTGAGTATCGTGCCGGTTTTGGCGGGCAGTCGAGACTACGCTCGTCTTTTCATGAAGGATTATAACAGCGTAAGACGGGAAAATAAATCGAGTAAGTTTCGGAAAACGATTAAACGCGAAGGGTCAATTTTATTCTTATATATAATTATTTATTTGCGTCACATATTATCTTCAGTAGAGCATTTAACTTTTTTGTGACGTACCGTTAAGTAGCACGTTATTTGGTGTCAACAAACTAAGGACTCACTTTTTGAATTTTTCCAAGTTGAAAAACCAATTCATTATATTAATTATATTCAGCAAAGGATAGGTTGGTGGAGTTGTTTAATTAATAATCTTCAGTGCCATTTATTGCAATTAAATTGACCACTTGTCTAAATTTCTTACATATAGATAAAATGTCAAAAATAAAAGACCGAACTTTCATATAGTAAAAACAAGCTTCCGGAGGAGCAATTTGTTAATGATAGGAGCATAAATATAGAAGAATAAATAGAACTCCACAAATTCATGTATGGTGTCAATTTTGTTGAAATTGATCGTTTGTTAGGCGTGTCGCTCCCAATTTTTATAAGAAATTTTATAAGAAAAATTTTATAAGAAATCTGCCAACTCAAAACTCCTTCAGAAAATGGTTTAATTTCAAACATTTTCCAAATTTTGACGAACATAGCCAATCATGTTTACATTATGGTGAAAATTTCAAATTATTTGAATATTGCTTTCAAATTCGTCTTTTAAAGCGATGCAATATGATTAGAACTTCATTTTGAACGATAAATTCTTTTAAATTTGATGAAAGCATATGTTAAATTAATATTAAATAAGGATAAATTCGTAATATCCCTGTTACTCCTGGTATAGGGTTCGTGGCTTTTACCGTATGATATTTCGCTTTTTGATAATAACGATAAAGTTTATTTAGTATAACGTAATAAGAGAATTTTGTCAAAAAATAAAATAAATGTACAAAAATCCACCAAAGCATCAATAAAACACTTGTTTACGCCATTTCACTGAAAATGCATTTAATATAATTAAAACTAACACAAAAAAAATGTGTATAAAAGCACATCGACTTATTATCCGAATTATGTCGAATGCTTTAAATGCAAATTGTGGGTGATATGTATTAGCGTTTGTAACATTGTATTTTTGTAGTACCTACCTTGTTTATTTTCAGGTCGAACATGGTTGTGTTTAGTTTTGGGCATCTGCTGGACGAACCCACCGTCTCGCATAGTAGCTGAAACTCCACCGCTGAATCAAATTTTCCAATGGAAGCAGCTGGAATTCGATTACACGAATCCTACCGATCGGGAGCGAGATATTCGAAACGGCGTCTTCGCCGTAGGCGAAATAGCACCCATCGATGTGGACGTCTATTATTCGGGTAAGTTAAAAATTGGGCTGAAACGTGCAGTATTACAGTAACATGACGACAATGGTGGTCTCGCCTAGCTTTCTCAGCTTACGTAAGTTGTGTAAGTAACGCGGTGTATTGAAATGTATCGGTGTTTGTTTCACCATCAGTAAAACCAATATATCATGTTCAAACTCATACATTTAGATTTTGCAAACGTAGCTTAAAAAAATTATAATTTTTAATTCAGTACTATTAATTTTTTAATTTGGTTGTAGCCAGTACCATCAACAATCACATCTTTATCACCATACCTAGGTTTCGAAGTGGAATCCCAGCCACCTTAGGTACAATATCGAACAAGGTATTGGACGGTAATCCTATTATCAAACCTTATCCATCCTGGCCTTGGCATCAAGACTCCAGGGAATGCCGCAGTGATAGGATCGTCTCCGTGTTCAGAGTGAAGGTAGTCTAATGGGTATAAACAAAACGCACATATTAAGCAGCTAACATTTAGCCAATCCTTTCAGTGTAAACAGCATAATTAAATCACAATCAGCCATTACCTGTTTGTTTTTTCTCTCCTCTATTGTTGCAAGTCACGCGTTTACTTAAGTATTATGTCGCGTTAATTGTCATTACGCTTAATTACCCGAACGGATACATAATAGCTCATTTTGTTTTTTCTTGCAATCAGATTGACGAATGCGACAGGTTATGGGTTTTGGATACTGGAAAAATTGGAGACCGTCAGATGTGTAAACCTCAGATTTTAGCGTTCGATTTGAAAACGGTAAGTTTTTATGAAGTTTAAAAATAATAAAAAATTTCTAACGCTATATAAATATTAATACACAAATACTGTTCAGCATTAATCCCCGTTATTTGTGCAAAGTAAAAGTTAAACATTGACTACCGATAATTTGGTAAATCAAAATCACTGAAAATATCGAGCATTTGGACTTTTTCACTACTGAGGGTAGGTTTAGGAATCAGATTCAAGCAGCATAACAGAATAACATAGCTTACATTAGTGCATTTTCCATAGCTCGTAAAACACAAACAAAAAAAAATTGTCTGTCTGTTCTCCGTTCTCGGTTCTCGTCTGTTATTTTTTCCTGAATAACTTCCGAACCGTTAGAGCTTTGAAATTGAAATTTGTCTCCTTTGAGAAAGATAAGATTATAGGAAATGGCCTCGATCCGACGCTGGCATCCATTTTTTTTAGCGATTTTCGAATGTTTTTTTGAACATTGCTATGAAACACGATAAGTGTCCGAAATTGGGAGCAATCGACTTCATATTTTGCACATAAATGTAGCTTTTTTTCCCGTGACTGAACCTATTGAAAATGGTTAGCCTGGCGCGTCGGGAAGTATTTTAAAAAAATTAAAATTCGCGTGTGCAAGGGTCTACAAAAAGGATCATTTTTCGAAAACCGTTTACGAGACCAAAAAAATTCTTGAACCAGAAGACGCAGAAGATACGAGTTAAGGTTTTCTAACGAAGGATCTCGTTTTTAAAAAAACACTTTTTATTTTACAAATAGAACTACGAGGTTTTATTTAACCCGCTACAAGGAGAACTGGACGCAAAGTACAAAGTTGTTATATATATAAAGTTTTTATGCAAGCGTCGCGTCGCAGATACTGGGAATACTGAAGCTAGCATTTCATCAGCATATTCTATCACATAATTCCTCCCTCCGAAGTGGAAAACAACAGGGACGAAGGGTTGTTTTCGGAAGACTGGTCGTTCTTGGTTTTCTTGGAATCTTGCAGCAAATGGCTCTTGTAGATTTTCCATGCTATAACTATTAACAAGATTAAAATAAACATCATTCCTGTTGAAGTGGCGAGACTCCAAGTGACTGGATGAATTTCATAACCAATGTCGGGGATCGATGATTTCGCAGCTTCTCGTAGTTTTTTGATCGTATTGAGATCAATCGATTGTAGTTGGAGTGGCTGGTACTTTACATCGTGATGTTCCATATTTTCAATTTTAATGGGTGGCAGTGAGAATGGGTTTGCTTTAAAAATTTCTTCTTTATTCCAAAGCTCAGTATTTTGGGTACTTATACCACAATTATATGGAACATTGATTAGGCAGGCTTCTTCAATAAAAGCTATTTCTTTGTTTTGACAATTCATTTGTAATTTAAGTTTCTGTTCCGATGGTATTATCAAAACAAATCTACTAGTGATTGGTCGTATTATATGCGTTGAAACATTTACATTGACTACGTGGCAATTTTTGTTTTCGGCATATTTAATGAGGGTTGTCACACAATCACCGATGGGCTGGGTAAGTTGATTTTCGCAAACGTAGGTGTCTTCAATGATTGGGCAGATTGATTCTTGATATTGTTGCATGTCAGTGCCCAATATTAGGTAGGGTGAATTAGGTATAATTAAGGAGTGATTCACAGGTACTGTAGAGGTTTGTGATCGGTAACTATCACAAATTTTCGGCCAAATAAATATGGTCGGAAATATTTTGTTGACCACACGATTGCTAATAATTCTTTCTCTATGGTTGAGTAATTGCTTTCAGCCGGGTTCAATGTCCTAGAGGCAAAGGCTATGGGAAGATCACTACCAATTTTTCCTTGGCTGAGAACCGCTCCTATAGAAACATTAGAGGCGTCCGTTGTCAATATAAAAGGTTTTTCGAAATCTGGATATTGTAGTATTGGATCATTGCACAAGATATTTTTACAAAGATCGAATGCTTCTAGAAATTCTGGCGTGTGTTTGATGGTCGCTCCTTTCTTTAGGCAATTTGTGAATGGCTTGGTGAGTTTTGCAAATCCGTTAATAAATCTTCTATAGTATCCTAGAAGGCCTAGAAAAGATTTTATGTCTTTTGCTGTTTTCGGTACAGGAAATTTCTGGATTGCAATAATTTTCTTGGGATTCGGTTTAATTCCGTTTTTTGTTATTATGTGACCCAAAAATTCTACTTCGGTTCGTAGGAATTCCGTTTTATCTAGTTGAATTTTTAGTCTAACTTGTCGCAGTTTTTGGAAAACAAGTTTAAGATGTTTGATGTGTTCTTCTAGGGATGACGAAAATACTATGATATCGTCCATGTATACTAGACAAACCTTTCCCTGTACATCACGCAAAACATTATCCATAACGCGCTGGAATGTCGCGGGGGCGTTTTTCAATCCAAAAGGCATTCTAACAAACTCAAAATGACCATTCTCGACACTAAAAGCTGTTTTTTCAATTGATTCCGTATCCATTTCGATCTGATGAAAACCAGATGAAAGATCGATAGTTGAAAAATAATTACACCTTCCCAATTTATCGAGTATATCATTTATATTAGGCAATGGATAGCGGTCGTCTATCGTTTTCTCATTTACCTTACGAAAGTCACAAACAATCCTCCATTTTTGCTTGCCGCTGGCGTCAGGTTTCTTCGAGACTACCCAAATGGGGCTGCTCCAAGGGCTTTGGCTATGTCTAATGATGCCGTCGTCTAACATTTTGTTAATTTGCCGTTGAACTTCCTCTTTATGGATAAAGGGGTATCTATATGATTTAGTGTATACAGGCAATTCATCCGTTGTTCTTATACAATGTTTGATTTTATTGGTGAATGTTAACTTTTTGTTTACATGATGGAAAATATCGTTATATTCTTTACAAAGCCTTATTATAGCAGATTTTTCTTCTAAATTTAAATGTTCGCAACGAATTATTTTGGAAATGTCGCATTTACTAAATTGTTCTTTATGTTTTGGTAAGATGTGTTCTAAATTAAAAAGTTCAAAATTTTCTTTATGAAAGTCCGGAAAAGATAAAACTTTTAGAGGTTGTGGGAAATTTAACGTTATATTTTTCTCAGTGTAATTAAAAACTTCTGTTTGCGCAAAACCGTTTTTTGCAGTAGTAAGTGTTTCTGGAAAATAAAGACCTTCAATGACTTGCTCGGGAATAATAACATCATTGTTTTGTGTTACTGGAATTCTTACGTTAACAATTTCGTGTGCATTCACAGTAATACAATATATTTCGTTTTGTGGTTGTCTAAATAAAATTGGTATATTAGTTGTATTATTCCTTAATTGTTTATTGACAAGATCGATAGAAAATTTAAAACGTTTTAGGTCGTTTAATCCTATTATACCGTCAAAAAATTTATGAAAGTCAAAAAGAATAAAAGATAGGTTGGTATTAGCCTTTAATTCTGGGAAAGCCGGAATATCTGCTTTAAATAGAGTTTCCTTTTCACCAGTTCCTGTTTTAATAATAGTTGGGGAATGATATATTTTTTCATAATAAAATTTTTCTGCAATGGAAGGTCGAAGAATCGAGTGAAAACAACCAGTATCAATTAAAAGTTTAATTGCGGGTTCTTTAATCTGGATGTACGGTAAACTATTATTAATTTCGGTATACATTTCTAATGTCATTTCGTTGAGTCGCATTGGCTCGTTATTGTAAAATTTTGAGAGATTTGATTTTCAATTTCAGGGTGTTCGTCAAAATTTTGAGTGTCATTAAAGTATTCAATTTGATTTGAAAATTCAATTTCAGAGTATTCCTCTTGGTGAATATTTTCATTTTGAAATACCGCAGATGTTTCATCTGTTTGTACCGCGTTACTTTCGTCGATTTGGTATAATTCTTGAGAAATAAAATTTCTAGGGCCAGTAGGTTTGAAATGGTTAATTTGATTATTTTGACGTGGTATAGTATAGTTTGTTCTTGTTGACATAGGTTCGGGTTTATTGTTAGGTACCTGACCTGTCGGTTTAAATACGTTTTTAGGTGGGCCAAAAACTTGCCTATTTGTAGGAAAATTTCTTGGAACTTCGCGTGGTTGAGGCATATTAATTGGACCTCTGGGAAAACTATTAGTCTGGGGAGTAAACTGATTTTGATCATGCCTAATTCTAAAATTTTGATTATGGTGATTATTGTTTTGAAAATAATTTATAGGGCGAATCGGTTGTACATAATTAAAATTTTGGTTACTAAAATAATTTGGATTTTTTGAAAATTGTTTAACGGGTTCGATAGGAGTATTAGGCAAAACTTTTGATTGAATTGGAGTTCTGAAGATATTTTGTGTATATTGAAAATTTTCCTCTTCAATAATTTGGGTCATAGCTAATTCTATACAGCTTGGATTTTTAAGTCTTATAATACTTTGTAATTGTCCTGGTAATCCTCTAATAAACGTCCTTAAACAAATTTGATCGTATTGACGTAAATGAATTACTTTGCTTGCATTATCCATAGTATCGGCAGGAAATGCATTAATTTTTTGAGCAAGGATACTTCTTAAAACTTGTAATCTTTTCCCAAAATCTAAAGGATGTTCATTTTTAAAGGGGGTGGCCATAAACAAATCCTGTTCTAAACATTCTAAGTTTCGTCTATCGCCAAAACAATTTAACAAAGCTCCTTTAATATTGTCCCACGTTACTAACTCCATTCTACAGCCTACTAGAATTTGTGCGCGATCAACAAGTTTCATTCTTATAGTTCTTAACAAATATTGTTTTAAAATTTCGTCGTTTCCTTGACCATATGTATCAAAAAGGAAATCTCCAGCTGATAGAAAACTATTTAAAGTGTTGGAATCACCATTATATAGCAGAATACTATCTATAAACATTTTTAACAAAGTGTAATTTACACCTGAATTCGACGATTGATTAGAATTCATTTTCAAATTGATTTGACTATTCTCTACTTTCTTTTCCACTAAATTTAACGAAGTAAAAAACGCACTTAAATTGTCGACGTCTTTATCTTCATTCATAAATTTAATTAATTTTGAAATTTCTTAAAATTGAACTTAAAACTAAGAATCCTTAAAATTATTTCCACCGTCCTAACCAGGGAAGATGAAAGGGGAACAATAGGAATTTTGGGCACTAACCTTGATTTCTCTTAGTCGTCAGCCTATTCTTCCTATTGGAATTTTCCTTGCGTAGCACTGCTTGCGGGGGTGATTTCTTGCCTTCCTTGCCCTCAGTCGAACTCAATCACGTTGGGTTTGTCAGACAGTCTATCACTGGTTCGTTTTGGAGTCTAAGGGTTGAAACCCACGTTTCGCGATCAAATCGTCTCGATGACGTGGCTTTGACCGAAAACTACCCCAAATCCTACTGACTGTGCCAGTTAAGGTTTTCTAACGAAGGATCTCGTTTTTAATAAAACACTTTTTATTTTACAAATAGAACTACGAGGTTTTATTTAACCCGCTACAAGGAGAACTGGACGCAAAGTACAAAGTTGTTATATATATAAAGTTTTTATGCAAGCGTCGCGTCGCAGATACTGGGAATACTGAAGCTAGCATTTCATCAGCATATTCTATCACATAATTTACGGCTCCATAAATTTTTTATTCTTGACAATTTTTCAGAAATATACAGGGTGTGCTGCAAATTCAGAAAAACTGAAAAATGTGTCCCACTATTATTGAAAATTGGCCATAACTCAAAGACTGAAAAAAAGCTATTTAAGGTTTTCAACTATTGTACAGGGTGTTCCAGATATTCCGTGCTATATAATAAATGTGTTGTCATAAATTTGCATATATCAACTTCAAATTTAACAGTAGAAATTTGGTGCAATCAAATTTCACCAATTATTTTTTAAAATTTTTATATTTTTTTTATTTTGGCGTCTAGAAAAAAAATATTTTCTCAAAAACTATTAACCTGATCGACAACATTCTTGAACCAAAAGACGCAGAATATCCAGTACTATAACTTTAATTTTAAGCATTTTTTCGATTATTTTCATGGTTTTTCAATTATAGACCCTGAAAATTAATAGAATATATGGTAGAATATATGGCTAATTGGCTTAAACGGTATTATAGGCTACATTAAGGGCTACAATTTTTGTATTTACGGTTTTCGTCTATCACATACGCTGTTCAAGATATTTGAAAAAAACCTAATGAAAATCACTACTTCTCGCCCTCAATCTAGAAGCGATGACGTCATTTACTATACCACGGACTGCAGGGTTTTAGAAAACAAGTATTTTCTTGAAAACCTCTTACTCTATTGGAAAAAATCATATACCAGGAAATGTGGGAGATCCAGGGCTTTAACCTCCATTTCGAACATTGTTTGAATTATATACAGGTTGTGTCGTTTATGGGCAAAAAAATCTAAAACATCCTAAAAATGTCCGTTTTTGTTGGTCAATTATTGGGGATAAATGAAAAACTGTTAAAGATGCATGATAATTTGATTTGAACAGTATCGTAAACCGTGTCCAGAGAGAGTTTCAGGTTTCGTCAATTATATAACGATATGAACGAATTTTAATATTTAACAAAGATTGCCGTAACTTTGAGGTTCGGCGAGACTTGAAAGACACTTTATGCAGAGTGTATGCACAATAAAATTACATCGAAAGTTCCATAATGTCGATTTTTCGAAAGCAATCTTATTTTTTCAGGATGAGGTAGCTCATAGGCACGAATTTGATTCTACGGTTGTTACACCGATATCGATATTGGTAACGCCAGCTGTAGACGTCAGAAATATACATGCCGGATGCAAGGACACCTTCGTTTATATAGCTGACGTCACGGGTTTCGCGATAATCGTCTATGACGTCAGGAATGACAAATCTTGGAAAATACAAGATAAGACTATGTATCCGTACCCGTCGTACGGTACATACGACATCGAAGGTAATTTGGATAAATCGGATTCGATTATATTTAACATGCGGTTTTAGGGGACAGCTTTGAACTTATGGACGGAATACTCGGACTCGCTCTGTCCCCGTATCGGCCCGGGGAAGACAGAATTCTTTTTTACCACGCCATGTCCAGCCCGACGGAAAATTGGGTGTTCACGTCTCATCTCAGGAACCAATCGCTTTTTGAGGAGGACCCTAGTTCGTCCCCACAAATTTTTAACGTAACTTTAAACATTATAATTATTTCTTATTACTCATTTGAAGGTTAAAATTTTTTAAAATATCTTCGGTAATAATATGGGATGGTATGTTTATATATATTTTCTTTCTTTAGACCTATTCGAAGGAACGCAAAACCCAATCGGCAGCAGAGGATATAGAACGCAGTGGCATAATGTTTTTCGGTTTGATCGGCAATTCGCAAATAGCTTGTTGGAACATCCAAACCGATTACGATCCAAAGTATTTCGACATTGTCGCAAGTAATAGAGTCACCCTGCAATTCCCAAGTGGATTGAAGGTGAGACTTTCGGACTGTGCCAACGGAGTGATAGTAAAGTGACGCGAGTAGTACAATAAGAGGGCTAATAATGGTGATTGTTGTTTTTCATGCTTACCTATAAATTCTAATGAAATTATTTACGGTGATTAAACAACTATTCGCATAAAATAAAATTTATAAACTAACGTATCCAAACATCTCTAAAAAAAATTCTAATGTAAAAAAAAAATTGGCAAATTTGTTGCTTCACGGTATGTATTTTTTTTATTATTATTTATTTTAAGTATTATTTCAAAACAGATGTATTGACCTAAAAAGGGAAAATTTTAAAATTATCTAAGTCAATGGGTAACGGAAACAAAACATTGATTAATTTGTTATTTGGAAATAATATTCACAAATATACACTTTCATGTTAAAATCAAATTATTATTACAATTATATTTTATTATTATATGCACATAATTCATTTATACAATTGTATTTATAATATTTAGATGGATTATTACTTTTTTAAATAAAACAAAATCAGAATATGTCATATCGCAGGGTTTGAAACATAATAATTACCCACACCATTATGAAATTAAAAATCTGTTCATAGATATAAGAAAGTGATCAATTGCTTTTGAATGAGATTATCCAAGGATGGTCATTAACATACAATGCAACAAGATTATTGCCTAAAGTTTCGGAATTTAAATTCAGGTAAAATTATGGTCCGTAATAGAAAATAATTTTATACCTACCTGTGCTTAATATTCTTTGGTTTGGTATACTACTTAGTTTAAGTTTATTAGTAATAATTCTTATTTCGTTTGTAACACAGCGTGTGTTGAATCGAGTGCGAATTATGCAAAATATGTGCAAGGAAACACTATTCTATTGAGACTAAGGAAGTCATAAACAATGTTTATTTGACTCTCATTGAACGTGGTGCCAGCAAGCAAGCATCTTTAGAAGAAACGGCCACATTGACGAAAATTACAAAATCAACTGTATGGAAAATTGTGAATAATTCCATTTCAGCAAGGAAAAAAAGAAGCGATGCTGACGTTTTCTCCAGTGTAGATAAAAGTGATCAAGATATAATACGGTGTAAAATTTACCAATTATAAGAGGACCAAAGCGTGCCTACATTAGATATCTTAATTAGGAGGCTTGAAAAAGATGAAACGGGTGTTAAATGTGGCAGAACTACTTTTTCTTTTAGAATCTTTTAGAATTCAAAAATGGCGACTGGAATATCTAGAAAAAATTAGGATTTACAGAGAACAATAAAGGAAAATTATTTACTTGGATGAAACCTGGTTCGACACTTATGAAACCCCTGAAAAGGGTTCGTTTGACTCAACTAAAGATTCTTCTCTGGATTAGCATGAATGCGCCACCGCTGATTTATTTGAAAGTTGGTTTAAAAACAAACTAGTTCCAAACATTCCTCCTAATAGCGTAATTGTAATCGACAATGCACGTTATTACAGTAGACAGTTGATTAACCTACAAAACGAATACGTCTGTGACAATTATGCAAAAAATCTAGGGCATTGAACATGTTTTTCACCAACTGAAACCTGCCATTCGTCGTAACAATGTTTTTCCCCGTGTTAACTGCAATGTTTTCAAACTTATAGAAACCGAAGTTTTTAACATCCCTCTACAAAGATGGGCAAATTCTGTTAAACATATAGAAAAAGCAGAACAATCGTATATCCATATTGCAAATAATATAGAACAAATAATAATTAGAACAGGCGATGATAGCGAGTGATACTGATATATTATGTGAATAATTTTAAGTAATTTAAACATAAATACATACATAAATAAATAAATATTGTTTAGTATCTTTCCTAACAAAACCAAATATAATTAAATTCTAAGCAAAGTACGGACCTGTTCGGCCATATTTCATTCTTACAGCTTGCTCGGGTCTTTCCTTAATTCGTATCAGTTAGTCACTTTCTTATATCTATGAAGAGACTTTAGCTCACACAATGTCAAAAATAGTCAAATTATATCACTTAGTTCAAATCGGGATTTATGAATGAAGTTAATCATGTATAAACATTAAGAAACAATTTAAATAATCGTCCTTGTCTGTGAAAGATTAGGTTGTATTTTACTGTTATATATTTATCAACAATCATTCAGACGCCAGTCAATTACCATTGCTTGAGCCTGTTAAAGGAAATTTAACTCTCTCAACTCTTTGTTGGCCAGTTTAGTAATCTTCGCTTTATATACACGTACGAAAATGTTTTGCAGGTCATTACGAATAAAAAAGGTGTGCAGGAATTGTGGGTTCTGAGCTCGAGGTTCCAGAAGTTGGCTAACGGTTCGCTTAAACCCAACGAGACCAATTTTAGAATCCAAGCGGGAAAAGTGAGTGATCTGCTGTACGGAACGAAATGTAAAGGAAAACACAATCTAGTTAAGCCGCCTCATGCCAATGGCGGCGGTTATGGATTGTATGGGAGTACCGGCTGAGCAGTAACGACAAAAGATTGATAAGCCAAAGTCACTAAGTCATCACCTCTATAGTACCTTAAGTTTTTTGTATAAAATTTTTGTATTTATTCAATAAAATGATAAGCGTCGCTTCGGAATTTTGATTTCATTTCTCTGCAATATCGACTTTTTCTACCTGCTTATTTATATGTCCCTTTTTACCATTTTTGTTTTGTTTTATTCCAAAAACATTGAAAGTTCTTATTGATCGAAATAAAGCTAGTATAGAAAATCCAGAATAGACGAAAAAAATCTAATCCAAAGTTGATTCTTATGTCCTCACGAATTTCTCATAATTCAAGATTTGCTTAATTATCTGTAACAACCAAAAAACCAATACATTTTTTGTGTCTCCTGATAATAAATGTTGCTGGCAGAATGCTGGTTGTTTGACTAAAAGCGAACTGGAACAAACGACCTTTAAAAACCGTGGTTAATGATAATAAAAGTCCTCCACTGCGACCCATCGCAGCGTTTAAAAACAATATTGCAAGGCCCCACGGCAATTCATGTCAATGGCTTTAAGTATATAGAATTAAGGCCAGGTCGATTATGATTCCGGTGAATCTGCCTTTTTTTAAATTCTTATTTCGTCCATGTTGAAAAATTTACGCGGACTCACTGGGCCAGTATTCCGTTAGTGGCAGACATTGCAAGTTCTTTTTTACATCGTCGAAAACTGAACCGCTACTTGCTATGGAATCGGGTATGTAGATTTTGAATTTTAAAAGTGTTGCTTTTATAGAAGTGCGTTTTTTTTTTCGGTTTATACGGCCGATTTTTTTTTAATTACCAAATCGGTTTAGAATTCACGGTTCAACGCGAAACCTTCAAATTGTTCGGTAATTAATATTATACAGTACGTCAGAACATCTTTTCCCGTTTTAGTTCTGTTTTGCCAGTACTTCGTAGTCGCTTGAATAATGCTGAACCTGAAACGCTGCGTTTTTATTATCCTGATTGTTACTGTCATAGAAAAAGTTTCGTCAGATAAGCATTTTACTTATGATGAAAGTATTTACTACACTTTCAATCATATCGAGTCCCAAAGTAAGTATTTTTGAAAACAAGCACCACAGTTTTGTTCAGGGGTGGACTTTCATTTTAGCTCTCAGCCTAGTATTTTCTATTTGAATTATTTTACTCTATCGAGACAAACCTTAATATGCTTTAGTCTGATCACTTTTTTTTGTAAATAAAAAACAACATTGCGTTTGGGGACGATTTGATTAAATATATTAGCCCAGTAAATAAATTAAAGGGTTGAGAATATGTTGAGGAAAATCGTTCTATACACTATTCTAAATGTTTCTAAAGTATGAATGCTTTCCCTACAAAACTATTGATATTACAAAATTGCTTCAAAATAATACATTCTAAAAGCTGTATGGCTCGCAAAATCAAACTACTCACATTTTTACTTAATTTGATAGGGCAAATTAGGGTTCCAATATTTTGTGTGATGCTCAATTAATGTAGTTTATATATATATATATATATATATATATATATATATATATATATATATATATATATATATATATATATATACAATATCTCCGAAAATCCCGGAAATATATATATATATATATATATATATATATATATATATATATATATATATATATATATATTTTTTTTTCACGTATTGATTCACGGATGGAAAAATATTCCGGGATATCATAAGTTCGCTTGTTGAACTCCGACTGGAATCCTGCAGACGTTTCGCCAAGATCTCACTTGGTATCTTCAATGCTCGCGCTCCGAAAACACTTCGAAGTGTTCATTACAAACTTTAAATTTAACGCTTAACGCACACATTCCTGTTCATGTTTTATTCCCCGCTTAATTTTAAAATCGTTTTAGGTAGAAATTTGCTCTGTGTGATTTTTGGATTTTGTTCGGCAGTTCCTGAGCAGATATCGACCCCAGCACATCCTATGCTGAATGTAATTTTCCAGTGGAAGCAATTAGAATTCGATTACGCTGACGTCAGTCAACGTCAGCGGGCAATCGAAAGTGGCACATTTGCCGTTGGCACTTTTGGACCCATCGACGTCGAGGTTTACTATTCATGTAAATACTATATACACATACTTTAAAATTGTGCGGGAAAAGTTCCAAGACAAATATATAAGGCGTTGCTTTAATAATATCTGTAATACACTATTCCAAATATTAAAGACTTTCCAAATCTTGCCCAGATTTTGATTTCTCGCAATTCTATCACAATATGCAGGTCGCTTTTCAAATTTTATAAAAAATATTAACATTAAAAAGACAATTTATTATATTATCGCTATGTATATAACTACTGAACCTAAACACTTTACTTCCAATATTCTATATAAAAAACACACTATACTAATAACATTTTCTCATAATTTTTAGTGGAGAACTTTTAACAAGGGAATAATAAAAATGTGTAGAAACTATTACTGATAATACATATGCTGTTTTAGCTCGACCTTCTAACAATCGCATTTTTATTACCGTTCCGAGATTCACTACTGGAGTTCCAGCATCTCTCGGTACTGTTACCAATAGCCATTTGGACGGAAATCCAATTATCAAACCTTATCCATCGTGGTCTTGGCATCAACGTTTGGACGAATGTCAACCTCAGAGACTAGTGTCTGTTTTTCGGGTCAAAGTATACAAAAACTAATATTCTCGGACGCATCGCCGTCATATAAAAATTTACAGGTGGACGAATGCAACAGATTATGGGTCCTTGATTCTGGTAAAATCGGTACCGAACTCATATGTCAACCACAAATTCTGATATTCGATCCGGAAACGGTACGTATGCCAAAACGAACAAAATTCTGCCGGTACGAGTAGATTTTTTTTAGGATAATTTGGTACATAGATACGAATTTCCACCCTCCGTGCTCTCGCCAATATCACTTCTAATAACCCCAGCGGTTGATGTAAGAGACGCTGATTTAGGATGTGGCGATACGTTCGTTTATATAGCTGACGTCAAAGGGTTCGGAATTGTAGTATACGATCTGAGAAATGACAAGTCCTGGCGAGCAGTTCACAGGTCAATGTATCCTTTTCCTTCTTTCGGTTTTTATAACATCGCAGGTGGGTTAAAATTGAAGCATACGACATTGTGATAACTGTGCGCTTCCAAAGGGGAATCGTTCGAACTCATGGACGGAATATTCGGACTTGGTTTATCTCCATATCGGTCTGGTGAAGACAGAAAACTGTTTTACCACGCGTTGGCCAGCCCGACAGAAAATTGGATCTATACTTCGCACCTTAGGAATTACTCAATCTTTGCCAACAACTCTCAATCCCCTTCGCAAATATTTCACGTAAGTGAAACGCCCGTAGCTCAGCTTGTCTATTATCGAATTTCTTTAGACTTATTCAGGACAAAGGAAAACCCAGTCGGCTGCTGAGGCGATAGATAGCAACGGAATAATGTTTTTTGGACTGCTCTCCGACACTCAGATAGCATGTTGGAATATAGAAATCGAATACCATCCAAAAAACTTCGACGTCGTGGCCAGTGACGTCACCAGTTTACAGTTTCCATCTGGTATCAAAGTCTGTTATGATTATGAACCTAGTAAATGCAAACAAATCTATCGGTGGGAAGTTTTTAGGTCATAAAAAATAATGAGGGAATCGACGAGCTTTGGGTGATGACATCGAGGTTTCAAAAAATCGCCAACGGCAATTTAAATCCAAACGAAACCAACTTCAGGATCCTTGCTGGCCGAGTAGATGATCTGCTTGTCGGGAAGAAATGTAAAAGGAAACAGCGCATCGACCTAGAAACTTCTAAATAAGATTTTGAGGTTATTACCGTCGCTGTTAAAATTTACTAAAATATATATATTACTAAAATTACCTCTCACACAATCCATTTTGGGTCATTTTAGGATATAGTCTACATTTATGCATGCAACCCTTATTTCGGCTCCCTAGAGCCTCTACTTGCGGTTGAGGAGGGACATCGAGGTGCCTTCAATATTTCTTGGTGTAAGGTGGCTTTATCAGACCATTCTTAAAATGGATGGAATACACTTTCGCTTGGAATGTGCTGGGATGTGTACCAAGACCGATATTTATCCTCCGTCAGTGGTTTTGGAACAGTCCGTGATTTGGTTGTTGTATTGATAAAGAAACATTTCTAAGAAATGCTTTACGCAAATTATATTTATTCATGAAACCACACTTTCTTCTTCTTCTCCTTCTCAGAGCTCTATCTTCTATCGAAAGTTGCAAATCATTATGGCAGTGTCATGCTGCTAACAATAGTTCCATGCTGCTGTTGAAACCAAACAGCCTTTTCTTCTTTCTGCGAAGATATTTTTTGCCGTGCTGTTTCAATTCGGGTTTTTATTGCTTAGGTCTGAAGTTATCGACGTTTCCAAGTACTTGTACGAGTCCATCTTCATGCTGTTGACAACTAAAGGGATGTTTATGCTTGGTGATTTAGTAACAATCATAAATTTTGTTTTCTTAAGGTCGATCTTCAATCTGCATTCATGACAACAGGCATGTGTCGTACGCAAATGTAGAATTGTTAATAATTTCATCATTTATTTATGGGACAAAGCACAGCCGTATCACACGCTCCAAAATATATTAATATCTTCTACCCTGACTTTAGTTGTTTGATTTCAATACAGTGTTGACGTTATGTCGATGTCGGGTGTGTTAATGTTCTTAGTCACTAGAATGTCTATTAGCTTTACACATTTCATCTTTGAGCTAAAACAGTGCCCTTTTTGTAACCATTTCAGCCCACTAATCACTAACCAAACTTTAAATCTAATATTTAGCTAAAAGATCTAGAATCGAACGGCCTCTTTAAAATTTCAACCCGTTCGGCGATGCGGCTGCATCTTATTGAAAATTATCTCGACTATGAAAGCCAACAATGAAAAAGCGTAGCCCGGAATTAATATATAGAAAGCCAGTTGAACATCTTGCAAATAAAAAGGTGATGCTCCCATCGAGCCTTCACCAAACTTGTAGCGGGAATCCGTTAATTGTTCCTTCCTGTATTCTTCGAGCAGCAACGCGTGGACAAAATCCGACGTCCACTTGGTATTTAGACCGTGCTCTTTGAAAAACAACAACAATAAATTAAACTTGAATAGGTAGGGTGATCCGGCTGGCACTATGTAAGCCAGAGAATGCGACGTTGGACATTCTTTAACGACGTGCAGAAGTGGTTCCCCATTTTTGCCACGGTAGAGTAGGTTCACTGCCACTTTGGCATCCTTCAGGCGTTCCACTGCGTAACAGTCGCCAAACCTCGCAACGAGCTCGAGAGCACTGAAATTCTTAGGGTAATTAGAGACTACCTTCTTGGAGAGTCTGCGGTAGAGGTCCGACACGTTCTTATTGAAAATGTTAAAGGAGGTTTTGATCGGGAAACCGGAATTGTCCACTTCTTCCAATGTGTTGATGTCTGGATAATAACTTGTGGTGCTGAAGGACGATATGAGGCTGGTGGAAATCAACCCTGACACGACGTAGAAGTAAAATAAGATGGTCATAACGAAAATACGCTTGGAAGTGTTGGGGTGGAGTAGAACGGTACTTTCCACTTGCAAGAGTTTATTTTGAACTTTCATTTTGATTGGAAACTTAAATAAGAGACCGGTACAAAGGCAGATTATTATTACGGCCGCATTGGCAGTTACAAAGTGTTTGGTGAAAACGTTGGATATATCTTGCCATTTGGGTATTACGTGCGCCTTGGGTCCTACTAGGCAAACCTGATCATTTAGACAGTTCATGGTGAATTCGAAACCGTCGGTTCCGTACTCTGTGACGTACCGGGCGTTTGCTTGGATATCGATATTTCTTCGAACCACTTGGCCTAGACTACCGGTTACGTTCCCGTCTGGTTTGGTTGTACCATAGTACAGACTATCGGTTCCTAGCATCATATGCATAGAAAAATTCATGGTTCGTGCCAATTCCGATGCACTTACGCCATCTACGCCGTAAAAGTTCGAGAAGTTCCTGACGAAGTCGTACAATCTTCCGTTCTTCAAATTCGATGGCAAACGTTTTAGTGCTGTAGGTTTCCTTTGGAAAAGCGACACTTTTAAGGGGTATCCGTTCAAGTTTGAAACGTCATTGCGTAAAATCTGCGGACAGGATGCAACATCGGTGATGGAATAAAGCCGAGTCTGACCATAACGACCTTCACTTCTTTCAAATGGTCGGTGGACGTATACGAAATCTCTGGTCGACGGTACGCAAGGCGTGTGAGCAATTACGTTTAAAATGTTATATTCTTTCCACATCTGGCCCAATACCCCACTCACGTCATCACTTTGGACTGCGCCAGATAGTAATACTACTAAGTAAAGTTTTCTGCCGAGGTTACGGATTTTCATTCCCGCCTCAGTGTCGGCTAAGAAAGAACTCAGCACGTTGGCGTCTTCTGCGACTAGGATGTTGACTCTGCAGCCTTCCTTCGAGCCTCTAATTTCCCTGGGACACTTACCAGGCGGTTCCGATTTGATTATTTCGTAAGGATCCATGCGACTGATGGATAGGTTTCCGGTGGGTACGTCGTACAGTTGGAAAATTCGCTTCCTGTGAACGCGAGATGCCAATCCTGCGACAAGATGGAAAATTTTATGTCTGCTTTTACCAAGCCGATCGTCCGGATGTTCTAGCGCAACGATCTGGATTACTCTCGATGATCCGAAATATTTAAAGTACAAATCGAACGACCGTGCGGCGAAACAAGTATCATTGTCAGTTACGGTGTTTATAATCGAAGAAGAAATTGAAGCCAAACAGGCCGAGATTATCAGGGAAAGTTTCTGCATAACTGCCGGTCGTAGAATGTCGAATTTTTATTGAGTGCTCATAGAAAATTCTCTCGTGAATGTGCGGTTTGATTAATCGCAATACGTTTATAATTTGACAAGTTGTTGTGAGTGAAATAAAACGGTTTTATTCTATTAAAGACCTAAATCGGTCTGGGCGAAGTGGTCAAACGATTTGGATTTATTCGTTTGATGATAGTTATTACAACTCAACCACGACACCTTCGATTATTTCGAGGTAGGTGTTATTATGGTGTATAAAATGGTCAGAAAAGTTATATTCAATGTGTCATTAGTCCTCATGTGTCCTTCGTCCCATCTTTTAAACGTTTAAACTTAGACATTAATACTGATTGCTGAACACTTTTACTGTTTTTGTATTTATCTATAACTCTACTCTGGACCAAGGAAACTTCTAATCATGGCCGACGAATCCTTGTTGTTTTTTACAATGATTATGTTTGTCAAGTAGCGAACATAAGCGATATTCAAACTTTTATGTATTCAAATCATTCGCACACAAAAAATGACGACGGAAATCTTGTAAAACATAAATTTCAGAAGAACGTTTTTTGCTCCTATTGTATTGTATTAATTCAAGGTAAATTTATTTATTCATTTAGATTTTGTGATATTAAAACGAGTTTTTTTTAAATCAGTAGAAATATAAATACCGATAAAGACGTCGAAGATGGTTGGTTAGTAAAAAATAACTTCTTAACTTAATTTTTAAATCGGTTCCTAGCACATCTTACATTAAATAAAAGTTATGCAGACTTAGTGAAAGCATGAAATAGAGCTTCTGGGTTGGCAAAATATGAAAATGTACTTACAATAAATAATTTTAGTTTTTTAATTTGTGGAATAATTTGCGTTTGTTACTTTTGCATACTGTTTGAAAAATTCTAATAAAATACTATTAAAGTGAAACTTTTTGATAACTTAATAAAATAAGTAACTTGCATAGAAATTGCAAGTTATGTAAAACTTAAACTTATTTATTGCCATATGCCACTTTCTTGTAAAAAAATATATCATAAATCTAAAAAAACTAAATCTACTGAATAATACCATATTATAAGGTAAAATAAATGAATTTTTCTCTAAACAATGGTACTACTCATTTTTTTAGTCAGTTCGCTACGATAATAAAATACGAAATGAGTTTGGGAAAAACCTTTATTAAGAAAATGAAACAAGTTAAATAGTATTAAATGCTAGTGTAATATATTTTGCAAATAAATAGTTATTATGATAGCTACTAACGGAAACCAATTGAAATTGATTCGGTAATAATGTTAAGATCGTTGTCATTTATACTTCGAAGGACATATTCAAGGTTATGTAGCTCTAAAATAATCTTTTTATACACAACATACTTAAAATCTAAATTTTTAACAACGCGAGAACCAGAATGAGAAAGAAGATTGTACTGGAACGCTAGTCGTCGATGCCGATCCTATGAACTATTGCTTTTATTTCTTTGTTTTGTTTATTTGTTTTTTGCAACGTTAAATTGCGAGGTACGATGGGGTGGGCTTTACTTCCGAACAAATCTAAAAACTGTACCAAAAATGAACACTGATTATTCATAAAACAATTATTCATAAAACAAACAAGAGTCGGATCGGATTCTCGTCTGTCTGGCATCTAGCGTTTACACGATGCATACAGGGGCGTACTTGATTGTATTGTTACATTTGTAATTTCATTTTTACTTATCCAACGAAGTCGGAGGTTAAAACAATAATTAATACTGAGATAAGTCGAACAAAAGGACAAAACAATTTTAATAAATTTTAAAAATTAATGTTTATTTAGGTGAACTACTAACAAGTTTAATTTGAATAAACAGTAGCTTGATCTGACAATCTATTTTTTTTATTGAATATTTATTTGAATAAAATGCTATTAATTTAGATCAAATAATTTTTATTGCGAACTGGTAGATAGAGCTGATGAGCTTCTATTTAGATCAAAAAAATTTAAGGAGAAGCCATATTTAGCTAATATACACATTGAATCCACTCATTTTCTTCATACTTCATAATATTGATCTACAAACAATACTACATAATTCACATTATATTTAAATGACTGACTACCAAAAGTTTTAAATAATGTTTTCATTGCCATTATAATCGTTACTTCTCCAGTATAACCCATGTAACAACTAACGAACTGATGGGAACGGCACTCCGTAATCACCGCACCACAAAGCAAAATGGCACATGTGCCGGGTTGGGTTAAGGAAGTTATGTTGGTGAGGAGGTCCTTACTAACAAAAGTTATTTTTTAAATAAATTTTTTCATTTTGTTTAAATTAATAATTTTTTTCATAAATAAATAATAAAATAAAACATAAAAAAAATCAAACAAATGACTGATAACATTGAAGTACATACACTTATTTGATACAATCGAGAATTAGTTTATTGAAACAAAATTTGTTCGAAGGAAACAAAAAATTTCCCAATGAATATTTCTTAATGTAATTAATAACAATCAATTGCAGTTTACCTCGCGTATCAACCATCTGCACTAATTATTTTGCCATTTACGTGCAGTCGAATTTCATTTTTCTGAAGATTAAATTCGGCCTTCACCAAAACTTGTCTACGTTCGAGAAGGAACGTAGATGAAGAAGCTGCGATTCCGGTCAGTTTGATTTTTGTTTACAATATGAAGAGAGTTATTGACTTGATGATAATATTTTCGTTGTTGGTAGTAGGAAATTGTTTGCACAGAAACAGACTGGTCGATTATTTAAATAAGGCGACCGATGATGGCTACGTATTTCGGTAAGCGGACTAATAAAAATAAGGCTAACGAAATGTCAAAACAACAACAGAGCGGGAGGCGTTTTAATTTAGCTACCGTACTGATGATGGTCAATTTCGGGAAGAGAGGGGAGAAATTGTGAATGCCGGCGCTGATCAAGTTCTTCGAGTCACTGGAAAGTACTCGTACTATGGACCAGATGGCAAACTCTACGAATCGACCTATTCAGCTAACGAAAATGGATATACGAGTAAATATAAAAGCTCAGGTAGTTTTAGTAAACATCTACAGAATGTCAAACCACCAAAATTTGTTTTCTTAGTGATAACCGCGCCTAAAGGACCCGGGATTTTGAGGATTTCAACTGCACTGTTAAGCTCCTTGGCTGGAGGAGGAATTGGTTAAGCGTTGGTAGGAAAATTGTTATCTGTATTTCATGAAATGTGCAATAAATCATCACTCGAAAACGCATCTCAAGTTTTCGTACGTATATGCGTATCAACAACGATTACGAAATGTGTGTACTGTAGACGTTCCCTAAAAAGGGTGTTACCAAGACAACGCCTAAATGAAAATAAACTGGTAACGCGGAAAATAACCAGATTTAGAGTTAAGAGTTTATACGTGAAGCCTGGTAAGTGTTGTTAAGTGTTTTCTTTTTTTTTAGCTTTTTTGTTAATGTTTTTCTAAATTAAGTAATCAACTAACTAACCAATAAGAAAGTATCGTATTGGTTTCTCAACTTTTTCGATTTTCTTTTTTTGCAATAGTATTTCGGAAGGAATATAACCGAAAAAAAATAAACTGATGCCAAGTTATTGCAGTTCTACGCTACTAGGTGGCGCTAGTTGGCGCCATGGATCAAAACAGACCTCTGTATTCAATGAATCATGATTTAACTGATAACCTTTAATTTTAAGTGTATTTTTTTTAAGTTTTCGGATTAGTGTTATAAGTGCAATGCTAATTTGCTATCGCATGTACTATTCGCGAACCTAATAGATAATATCAATTGGACATGGTAGGTATTTCAATTTCTTTAAGTTATTATTCCGAGTGAATCTAGTTTAATCGTCTTGTAATTTGCTATGACATATACAGAGTGATTCCTAAAGGTCAATCTCTAAACTGAAGTTATTAGACTCGGGACTATTATGATTGAGCCCGGAGGTAGAGAGCGTTCAGAGTTTTTATACTTAGTATAATGATAAAAGTTGTCAGTTTAGGCCTTTTGACGTGAATATTACGAATTTGGAGCTCTGTCGATTATTGACTTATTTGCATTTAAAAAGTTCAAGGCATTTTTGAAAAATAAATACTTAACAGGTGAAAAGTTACGGTGAGCAGTAAAAAAACAGTACTTAAAAATAACAATTCTTACATTTTCACGCAAAATGATCCTGTTACACCTACAAGGATGTAGATATTTCCAAAAATTTTGCTACTAACCAAAACTAATATTTTCTTGAAAAAAAAAAAACACAAATAAACAAATAAATAATCTTATCCTTATTTAAAACAGTTACATGGCTGTTTCGGATATAGTTTAAATTTTATTCTGGGATTTCGCAACATTGGAGAAAGTTTTTATAGTATTAATAAATATGCATCATATAAGTTGTCACTTTATCCCTTTTGACATAAATATTGCGAATTTGGAGCTCTGTCGATTATTGACTTATTTGCTTGCTTTTTAAAAAATCAAAGCAATTTTTTTTATAAATACTTACAGTTAGGGTGAGCAGTAATAAAACTGAATTTAAAAATAACAATAAATACATAAAATAATCCTGTTTATCATAAACGGATGCAAAAATTTCAAAAAAATGTACTACCAACCAAAACTAACATTTTCTTGAAAAAAAACTTTTGACTCACGAGTTTATTTGACACGAGCGGAGCGAGTTTTTAATAAACGAGTGAGTTAAAAAGTTTACCGAACGTGTTGCATACTCTATTTTTTCTACGACCGTTAGTTTTTGGGTACATTTTCGCAAAACAACAGGAATACATTCACTGACATGACCGTCAGAATTGACAAACGTCAAAATTCAAAGCGTGGGAAATATCTCCGAAAACATCCGATTGCTCCCAAATTCTTGCGGTAAAATCCCGGAAATGCCCGAAGTGGCTCGGATTCGTGGGAAACGAAACTGACGTGGTAAAGTGATGCTTCCCGCACGCTAGATCGGTGGGTAATTAGGTATTTTACAGACGGGAGTAGAAAAATAAATAAATAATCTCCTTATTTAAAACAGTTACAGCAATTTAGGTTACAGAGTATTTGGAGGTGGCGATTTTCGTATTCAATACGCTTTTTAATATAACCACCAGGAAGATAACAAAAACAACAATAAATAAGTTGAAAAATCATTTTAGATTAAACAGCCAAAGCCAGGAGAGAAGAAAATTGTGAAATAATAATGAGATCTTCACATGAAAACACAGAAACAAAATAAATGCACGTTTTTTATGTTCACCATGTCACGCATCTCATGGTTAATCACATTGGTTAATAATAATTTGACCTATAGAAATTAGAAATTAGAAATAGAAACTTGTGGAAATAAGTTACACAAAAAACAAATGAAATACATTTAAGTCCCTAACTTTTAGGTTGTTTTTGAAGAAACTGGCGAATTAGGGTTATTTATTACTTTAAACAAACATGTCGACAAATATAGGATCGCGGCATTAAGTTTGCACTAGTAACATTATTTAAGATTTTCTTCATGTTTCAACCATAGCTTGACAGATAAAAAAAAATTGTTATCCGATTGATCTATAATACAGTGAAACTAGCTCCCTAAATGAACAACGTCCAAATAAATTTAATAATAATAATAATATTAATAAATAGTCTTTATTAGCATTACATGGGGGAAGTCTGGCCACTCACACTTAACCCATTTCTAACTACAACTACATATAAATTACAAGTATGTATGAAATTAAAAAACAGAATGAATGATATACATGTATTCTAACGAATTATTTTACATTAAGTTTAGTAACTGTTTTTTTAAATGTAAGCTAAAATTTTTACATGAACCAAGTAACTTTGATTTGACGCCGCTATTTAAGGCGTTGAACAAGCTTACAGCATTATATGTAAAAGAATATTGAAATTTTTTTATTTTGTGCAATGGCATAGTGAGTGATGATTGGTGTCTTAGATTCAAGACATGAATGGATTTCCTAAATACTAATTTGTCATTCAAATATTTTGGAATGTTGGAATTTATTACACGTTTCAAACAGCATAAACAGTAGTATTTGAAAACATCTTTCATTTTTAACCAATTCAATCTTTTGAGAGAGGCGGATATGTGGTCAAACTTGCGTAGGTCAAAAATAAAGCGACAAGAAGTATTTTGGATTTTTTGTAGACGACAATGTTACAATAAGACAAGCGAGAGAGCATAAGACTTTGACACAACTGTAGTTTCATATTCATTCATTCATTGCCATGTCAAAAAAAGTAAAAATGCCAATTTTTATAATTATTATTCAAAAACTTCAATTAATGAGAATAAAATTTAAAACTTGGACGCCCTGTATACCCGAACTTAGCACCATCGTAATATTTTGGCGTCTACTTACTTTTATTCTTTACGAATCACTCTGTATATGTCATTGTTTCAAGTTGCAGTCGCTGGCGCTGATAACGCGCGATATCATTTAACGCTTACGTTATTGTTAATTTGGCATAACACCAAACGCAGACGTAGCGACACGGAGAACGTATTGCCGCTAAAAATAGTTGTTGCCTAATCTGAATCCTTGCAGGTCGGCTGTCCCCACAGTTTACATTGCGGCCGCGCAGGCTCTGTGCCGTTTTGTTATTTTTTCTCATTCGGATCCCGCAGAGCTTTCTATTTCTGCATTTGCGCTTTAGGTTTTAATCCCAGTTATCTGGGAATAAACATTTCGGTGCTCCGATGTCGATAAGAACATTTTCAGATGTGTATATCATCAGACAAAGAAAATGTTTTGGATCACCATGCGTAACGTAGTGGGCCGATGGAATATGCTGTGAACGAATTCAACAAAATTGTGTAATATCTTGTGTTAACCTATCGCGACTGTAAGTAGGTATATGGATAATTATTAATATTTATTACGCGGTGTTTTTTTGAAATAATTCTCTGCTGGCCAGTTACACGATCAGAATAAGAAGAGTCTTCTTATTTTTTTATTTTTATGGACCTTGGACCATATGAATTTGCTTTTCAATAAGCTTGCCCCTCATCTTCAGTGTTCTCCTCCATTTTTGTTTACTCTATATATTTGCCGCTGCCGCCAAGGGTTTTAATAATTGTCACACGTGATCTCGTCATTAAAAAGTACTTAAATTAATCACCAAATGCCATTTTCGGTGTTCCGATTTAAAAAAATCTGAATTTTTTTCTGATCGTTCCCAAGATTCGCATTCCCGCACTCTGCATATTATTATATTTGAAAAAGATTTTTGTTTGATTGCACTTGCAAGTTATTGTTATTGATTTACCTCAAATTGGTATAAGTAAGATTAAAAATTTTTGTTATATATTATTATGTTATTTCGGAAAATATTGTTCGATAATTATAATTTTTTTTTTAAATTAAAGCACTATGACACGTACATTCATTTTTTTAAAAGATTAATTGATAACCCTCAAATGTAAATCGGTCCAAGATAAAGAAATAACATAAATACATTTCAATTTTCATCTTTTTTGTTAAATAACACATCGTTTTTCATTCAAGAGCCTTTAAGGAATAGCGTAAATTGGTTTTAATCGAGAAATTTCTTGATGGTGTAATGGTTATTATGATTGTATTATATTTTACAAAAACACTAAAAAAAATCTTTTTAACAATAACACAACATAGTAAATCAATCAAATCCATCAATTGTTAATAATAAAAACAAAGAATTTTTCGGAAAAAACAGGCTATTGTTGCTGTTGATGAAACGAACTTGCTGATGCTTCGAAGATATGCCTGATGTTGCCTTCTTCAGGGCTTAACTGAAACTGTTTCAGTTAACCTCTGCAGAACAGGATGATTGGCGAAATGTCAGCAAGTTCGACTCATCAATAACCGACGCAGGACGAATCCAGATTTGTAAAAATAGCAAAAAGATTTTCACGTATGTTTCTTACCTATAAGATCATAGGCGACTTCTGTATATTAATGATCTAGCTCAAGTTGTGAAAAACAGCAAAATTACATTATTTGCCGACGATACCATGATATTTGTTGGTAAAAATATCGAAAAAAATGCAGCCAGATATCAATGATGACCTGTATTGAGTGTTTGTATGGATGTGTTTGTATGGCAAAAAACATAGATTGAGTGGTGCGGACCTGGCGTTAATTTGCAGTATGAGAAACATATAAAATATTTGGGAATTATATTAGACCCACAATTAAATTTTGATGCACATTGCGATTATATGATGAGAAAAGTGGGTTTCATATGTAGAGCAGGCAAAAATTGAACGAGTTATACGAAATTGTCACTTTACAATAGCTTGGCGGCGCCACATCTGCAATATTGTTCAACTTTATTGTTTATTTTACCTAACTATAGACTAACGGACCTTCAGAAAATACAAAACAGAGCAATACGCTCAATTCTAGAATGTAATAGATATGTTAAATATGTTACAAATATTAACTGTAAAGCAAAAAGTAATGTTTGATGCCTTTATATTTATATTTAAGATAAAAAATAAAATGATGCCGCCATACATTGGTAATAGGGTTATAGGGTTAATTACTTTAAGAATGTTCATGACTATAACACTAGAAAACGTACTGATTTCATCTTAGTCAATCGATGTAAAACTACACATATGTTGAATACTATTTTAAATAAAGGTTTGTTAGAGTTTAATAGGCTGCCAAAAAATATTAATTTAAATGCTTTTAAAAGATTAATTAAAACTTATGTATTGTCTGAAATTTTATTCTGATTTTTTTTATAATTGATCTGTGGTTATAGACTTTTGTTTTGTGTACTTTTGTACTTTTATAATTATTTAAATTTTCATATTTTGCTACTGGCTCGTATATTTAAAATGTACATACGATTGTTTTCTGTTATAGCTTTATGCTAAAAAAAAAGTTCATATTACCCATAAATCAGCAACATAACATAATTAATATATTTTTAGAGGCAAAAGTCGCACGCAAAACAACGAACGCTACACAGCATGATACTAAAAAAACCAAATCATACAATACGAAACGTTACCTCGATTAAATCTTAACGGATCCACATTTAAGAGTGAGCCAGCATTGTTACAAATTTTAAGGTTAAGATGTAAGATTTATTCAAGAAGTATATTATCATGTATTTGCAGATATGCCAGCGCTTTATTTGCGCTTAGATAATGCGATAGTTTATCCGGGTGAAGCTTTGACAGGCCAAGCAATCTATACTTTCACTCCGAAAACCCGTATAAGAAGTGAGTGTCCATCGATATTTTATTTATTTATTTCCCATATTTTACGCAGAACCTACTTATTTTTAGAGATAACAATATGCTTCGTCGGAAAGGAAAGAATGGTCGTGAAAACTGGCAAATTTAGGTGCGTCAAGGAAAACAAATTTTTGAAAATCAAACACTACGCGTTTGATGGCGGTAAGTTCGAGTTATAATATGAATTATCGGGAGGTGCTGATGAAATTGCCCATTTAGTGAACCAACCGATGGATCAAACAGAGTTCCCTTTCGAATTTATCGTTCCGCAAGATCAGCCTACCACTTTTAAAAGCACCGTTGGGTTTATTAAATATAAAGTTACGGCAGTAGTCGACAGGATATTGGCTAGAGACCACAAAGCTGAACTGGAAGTGACTGTGATATCGCCGCTGGATCTCATTAGATCGCCACGTTCACATGTGAGTTGATTGTAGATAGATATACATTATAGTAAAGTTACATCAGTCAGACTGGAATGAAAAATTGTTGGACAGAATTTTATCTAAGGACCCAGACAGCACGATAATATCTTAAAAGCATCCATATATCAGAAACAGACATTATCATATCTTATGGAAGTCTGCTTACGCATTCAAAACATCATATTGACATCTTACAAGGTATCAACACTTTATCTTATGGATACTTTACCAACCCATCTCTGTGAAAACCTTCTAGATATAATCAAGAAATAAATTGTCTTCAAGATATTATGTGCTGTCTGGGCAATGAGAATGAGAATGTTTGAGAATAGCTCCCAGTAAGTTTTCTTCACTTTTTCCACTGCTTTGGGGATTGTTTGAAGAAAGCTGTATATTATGTACGTTCTTTAGTATAGGAGCCTTTGTTACAATTAGTGTGCGTTTGGAATTAGAGAGGCCGCCACAAGCATTAACGCTTCATTCGGTATCCTGCATTCATTTTATATTAGCTTTATCTTACTTTTTCAGCCTCCGGTGAACGGGGACATCCAAAATGAAATCGGTTTGCTCAGTTGCGAAAAAGGGCCGATTTTTTTCGAAATGAAGCTGGTGAAGGCAAAGTATATTTATAGTGAACCGATCCGAATCAATCTTTACTGTAAAAATAAGTCTGATTCCGTTATATCGGAAATGCGCACCAAGTTAAGACTGGTACGCTCGTAAGTCGGTCTAGACGCAGCCGTATTTTAGTTACGCGATTGCTGTTCCAGATAATAAAATACTTAGTAGAGAGAGAGAGCGACATCGTAGAAAAAAAGGAGAAACAAAGTGTGGTTTCGTGGAACCAAAATGGTATCGATGCTCACGGCCATCAACGTTTAGCGTTGCTTTTAAAATTTCCAGACAATTTCGCGATAAACAACTTTGATCAGTGCTCATCGTTCAGTCAGCTATTTAAAATAGATGTAAGAAAACTCCGCTTCTATCAATGACATTAATTCCAAACGACCCCAGACAAGTCACTAACAAATTACATAATGTATGATGCCTGAAAATCATGAGAGTGTCAAACTAAGTGGAGGGGGTAAAAGTGTAAAAGTTTAACTTGAACCAGCATTTATTGCTTTTATTTGCAAAATTTTAATTTAATAACGTGTCATATAACATACTAATTGTAATTGAAAATTAATAGTCATTTCTATAGTTGAAGTTGAGTTAATGTTTATCGCTAGTCAGCATATGCTAACGTAATTTTTGTTTTGATAATTATTAAGGACGTTCAGCTTCATATATACGGTCATCTCATAGACGTGAGTCTGTAGTGACTACCAAAACTTGTCCCAGTTGAGTAAATTTGAGAACATTGGAGCTATGTCATTTTATACCCAAATGCTTGAGGAAGTAACTTTTTGCAGTTTAGATTAGTGACCTGACCTGCAGGCACAGGGATTGTGAGACTAACAAAACTAAGAACAAGAAAGGAAACTCAAAATATATAAAATTGCAAAATATCAATACTAATTCAGGTTTTCTCATATAAATTATTATAGTTCTTGGATTTAATAAGTTTAGTACTTACAGCTGGCAAATGTAACAAATTCATTAGAACATTTTAAAATCAGTGAGATGGTAGATATGGGAAGGAAATGACTTTTGAATGGAAGGCTAATATGGGATTTAGGATTTTCGACCGCTTCTGTTTTAGGCATTGGCGATAATGCATGGATCAAGACTCGACTTGAAATTGCGTGCTAAATGTCATTTGGGGAATATATCTTACACGCACGATTCGTGTCAAGGCCCGACCGTGTGCGTGCGGTCCGACAATTCTTTAATGGCCGGCCCTTCTTTCAAAGTATCTCACTATGGAGCGTCCACTAGAACGGAACCGTACCATGAAACTCGACCTTCTGCGCCTCCGTTTGCCGAAGTAAATCATCCGCCACTAAGTATGGGTAAGTATGATGTTTCGGATATTTTAAGAGATATTTTAAAAAATCTATTATTGAGCGTTCATATTTTATGTTGTATTAAAAAAAAAATTATTTAAAGAACACAAGGCAAAATATTTTTGCAAGGTCAGCAACGTGTCCTAATTTCTGGTTTTATTAAAACATTCTATCCAATTGAAGTTAAAATAGCACACTTTTAATAGAATCTCATTTTCTACACCCACCAGCAATTTGGATACGTTATTATCTGTATAATCATCTCTTCCCATCCTGTTCTAAAGATATTTTTCCCTGTATTTTTATAAATAATTAGTTTTCTTTTTGTGATTTTTTTAATCGAAAATGAAAATTACAGGTTATTAGACTACTAGATAAAACATCATGATGTATTACGTCTTAAGCACAAGGGTTTGAAAAATTGACGTTTTGATTTGCAGGTCCTCCACCATACGAAGAAGCCATAAAACACATCAACCGCTTAAACTTAACGTAAGTTTTATCGAAGGAATAGGCGTTACATTACTTTGAACTTTTTTTAATTAGATCGGTTTTTGTATATTTTTTTTATAAATAAAAAGTTGCACTTTAATTGCGTCTTTTTAATTTGCGAACGACCGACCAATCTAGTCACGATCGAGTCCCATTTTCCAAAATAGTAATGACGTTGTCTCAAAAACTTCCTTTAAGGAAGGCCATATCAAATATTAAAATTAAAATAAAATCCAAAAATGGAAAAAAGTGCCAATATATTTGTAACGGTGTAGGCAGGAAATAATACTTATGCTAGTGAATTTAACGTAGTTTATTCGATGATATTTTAGCCGGAAATTTTACTTAAATTTTAACGATTTATAGGAACAATTATTAATTTATTAGTATCGCTATTGTCTAGGTCCAAATTTCAAACAAAATCAAAATATCATGCTTACAGGAAATTTTTGAAAGCCTTAAGAAAGAAGAAAAGAAAAAAATGTTTTTATTTAACATCACAATTTTTTTGGAAACGACTTTCTTTTTTCATTTATTTAAAATTACAACTGTGAATAATGAAGAACCTAGTAACCTTCCTTCGATATTAAGGAAAAAACAATCTAAAAAATGTCTTCAAAAAATGAAATGTTCATCTTTGTTGAGATTTAATTCTCTCTATACTGTCCACGTAATTTCCAAAAATGTTCCTGGCATAAAGTCCCTCTTCCAGAAGATACTTGTTTTCAATTGTACGCTGTTTTCATTAACAAATTAAAATTCCGTGCTAGTAATTTTCTACATTGCAGATAACGAAAAGAAAAATTATTGAACGTTGAGTGCTTTCGTTAGTAAATAAGCAAATCGGTTAAGTTTGCAAGCGAGGCAAATCCATTTGAAATCAAATTTGTGTAATGGGATAGTTCCTTTCCGATTATATGTTTTATGACCATGATATCAACTATGTACTGTTATCAAACCTATCTATGCACATAAAAATGTCATTTTCCTTAAATATTAAAGTTTATTTCGTTAATGCAAACAAACAGTTGACGTTAATGAGCAATGGACTAATAGCTTTGGAAAAATTGTATTTAATATTACTCAAAATTCCTTAATGAATCCGTATAGTATTCTAACATTTATCTGGTTGGTGTTTAGGTGATTTGTTGCTAGTTTTTGGTACGAGTTGGTGAGAACCCATAATATTTCATCTCCGTTTTCATTTGGAGTCACCTACAATTTTAAAAGCTTCAAAAAGCCGCCGACGGGTCCTCCCTGAACTCAATTTACCGATCTCGGTGTAACCTTGAAAATATTTGAGCCAAATTGCCCCTATTAATTTTAGTAAATAATCAAGTTTTTAGATTTGTGCTATTTTCTCACAATCGGTAGATGGAGTTTCCGAAGGACCATAGGGAGGCCGAGCTAATACCTTGAGTCCACCGGGAAACTGAAGGGCATCTTTATCGCTATCAATAATTTTAAAATTTTTCATAGAATGGGTCTCTGGTCTTCGGTATATGTTCCAGGTTGCTATCTCCGTCGGTCCCATAAACCCGAAATATAGATTCCCATTCTTGTCTATCGCTTCGGGTCCACTTTGAACGCCTCTTCCGTATGGAAGATTCTGAAGCAAGCGACGCCGTGAACGGGGATCACGTGGTAGTCGGGTACTCACGTGAAACAGCTTTGGCGATGCTTGAGATTTGGCAAATCGTGAATCATTTCTTAAATCCTCCGTGTACACCCAGTGTTCAGTGCTGCCGGATAGTGAGTGATAAAATAGTTTCCTTTTACTGGAAAGAGGGCTTAGTGCAAGTGCCATTAGACCGTCGGTTATCGAAAATGTCTCCCCTGCACGTAAAATCAGTTTGCTTAAAACTTCTGGTGTATCCTAATGACTCCAATCTACGAACCTCCGTGATGAAACGTTGTAAAATTAATCTCGGGAAGAAACGTTTTATTCCTGACTCTCCACGAGTTATCCCTCTTGTAATCGTAAACCAGCAAAGCGCTACCCTCTACGTCCGAGACGTAAGCGAAGCTATTTGCGCAATTCGAGTCTATTATCTCTACCACCGGTGTGACATAGAGCGATATGTTCATATGGTACTTCTCTGGGATCTTGTACGACCTGATGAGAGTGTCCTTAAAGCGAATCGATTATTTTTGAAGCTGGAGATATTTTATACCTACTGTTAGCAAATCGAATATGAACAGCACCGGAGGACATTTGTTTTCATCTCCGATTCTACCGCTGTCTATTACCCACAACCTGTCGCAATCGTCTGCCTAAAACGTGTCCCAAACTGGTTTCGATGGTCTGTCGATTGACACTACTTACGAATATTCTGTAGACGGAATAGAGTTTGTTCTCGCAACTTCCGGAATTGACGTGCCAGTCCCACGATGGGTACGGTTTAATGATCGGATTTCCTTTGCGGCGCTTATGCGTAACAATACCTAGAGTTGCCGGTACTTCCGTTTCAAACTTGGGCACTGTCACAAACGTTATTCTTCTTTTTCCTATTAAACCACATTTTCCGCAAGATGAGTATTATCGATCTTTATAAAAACGATATCGTAAAATATAATAAAAATATGATTGATGATATGATGATCAGCTATCGTTTACTCGACTGCACAACGGATTTAAATCTGCTATTGACACACGTATTAGATATATTATTCAAAAATGTTTACCCTCACTTGATTTATAATTTTTTATTTTTAAAATACATTATTTTGATTAGTTTTGGTTAATTTATTTATATATTTATATATTTATATTAATTTCGACAAATGGAGCCCTCAAGATAACTTTTACGGCACTTCTCCAAACAGTTAGGCCATTAACTAGAATAAATTCCGCCAAGGAAAAATATATCATTCAAAGAGTGTTTTTCTGTAGTACTCTCTCACTCTTCAACTCATAATTCCGTCCAATAATAGAAAACTTGCCACTTATATGAATATTAAAAGGAAAAGGTCCCAGCATGATATTCTGCGCTATATCGAAACTCACGTCTAATGGACCTTGAATTTTTCTAATGCCAATTCTATCCACTCTTTCAAGGAAGATTCGATGCGAGTGTCAGTGTTAACAAACAAATAAATAATAATAACGAGAAAGATTCAGTATTACAAATTACAAATGGAATTGTATTATTTTTATTATTCTTACAATAACTGAAAACATGTCTAATTAAAACAGATTGCCATCTAACAACTATTCTTTGCTTTTATGCCAACTTTGTACATTTTCCCATAAAACGGCTCTTGAAAACACTTATCCATTGGTATTCAACGGCCTTAATGCAATTTAATGCCAGTTGATTAAATTTTGACTTATTAAAAATCGACTTACCTTTGTAATAAACTTGAACGTCTAGCGGTAGACACTTGCCGACGTTGAAAATCCCGGAGTCTATGTCTCTTTGGCGTACGCTCTCATTGGCGTAGTCAAACTCCAGCTGTGACCACTCGTATTCCACCTTCAGATTTTTCAAACTGTTGATGATGGGGACGAGCAACGTAAATGTGTACACCGTGGAGAGAAAATTCGACATTTTCATTGTGCGACGGCATTAATTTATCCGAATATAGAGGCTTTCGGTTTACCCTTGTCGGTTTGCGCATGATTTTGATATCCAAATAACGACTTTTATCAGCATTTCAGTTAATTGTAATAATTGCTTTTAGTAATTAGTGTCCTAGCTCGTGTTATAGTTGACTTTTGCATTTTCTTTAATAATAGTAGTGTTTAAGTGCACTATACCAATACTGATATTTGTAGATATCTTGTATTCAATACGCAGTTATGATCCCCAAATTATGTTTAATGATAAAATAGTTCCTGGGAGCCAAAATTTTGAGAATATTCCGAAAAATCTGATCATTTTTAAAAATTATGTTGGGTCTTTGTGTGATTGAATGTAGACCCGCTTCCGTGCATTGCGCATTACTAAATATTCTTGTCTACTCCAGTAGATTTGCGAAATAAATTGGCGCAGCTATATCGTAAAAATGATGACACTTATCCGTTGCGTTTTTTTGCAATATTTCACTAATGAACCATGTAATTACGTTCTTCAAATTGCGCGTTTTATTTCTCTTTAATTCGACCAAATAGACTTGCCTTATCTATCTTGCCTTATTTTGAGATTCCTGTTGAACCAGAAACCTGAAGTCACTTTGTTCCTAGTTTACTGTTTGACAACTACTTTCTCCCATAACTAAGTATCCATGTTAGTTAAAGGTGAAAAAGAAGGAATCGAGAATCTACCTTAGAAATCGAGCTGCGTGTCTAAACAAATAAAAGTAGCCATAAGTCTGCAACGATGTAACCTGATAACGGAAGAAACCAATACATGGAGGAAACTCCTCAATGTCTTAAAGAATTGTTTGAATAGCTTAATGGTTGTGGTATTATTATGTACATAATGCCATGCAATGCAAGAGCTTTTTTTAAAAAGTTTTCACAGCGTAAATGTTTTAATTTTAACCACTCACTTCTAGAATTGAAAACATCACTGTTTTGATGTTTATTGAAGTTCCGTTTATATGTGTCAGCGTCCTTAGCTTTAAGTCGTCGATACTCCCCATATTTCGTTTTGGGTGTTATGGAATGTTTATTTTGACTCGTATTATTTATTGGTCTAGCCTAAACAGTTGTAATTCTGATTCGTAATATTATAGACCTATGGGGACGAGACCCGGTGAAGATAGTCTGGTTTTATAAAAGCACTGGTTTGATCGGATTTTGAGTAGCTCCGATAGTTTCATTTTAATTGGCTATTCTGTAGTTTGCAGTAGTTTCATCAACCGCCATTTTGCGATTTCTTATATAAATATATTTTCACCTTTCGTGTATTGTATAAAGCATTTTTTATTTATCTGTTTATTGTTTTGGTTAAAAATTATATTAATTTATTTTATGGGTTTAGCATTAAGCATTAACGTGCTTGGTTAGGTATAACTTTAAATTTTCAAAGTGTTGTATGATGCTTCTAGCATACGTTCTTTAAAAATTTAAAGGGCGGTTGAATAAAAAACGTATTTATATTTTTCAGCTAATTATAATCTTTAAATTTCCTTATTTCTCCATACAGTATCCGAAAATTCGTCACGTTGATAGTTAGATTATTCGTCATTGCTTTTTGCAGCGAGTTTGAAACAACCCATAACATTTCGTCTCCTTTTTCGTTCTTGGCGACCTGAAATATTCCGCTTAATTACAATTCCCGAACAATCCGGGGGTTTTCCGTACCTTTATCCCACTGATGAACGGGAGCGTCCTGTTACTGATTTCCACAGTTTTAAAATACTTTCTCCTATAATTTTGCTCATCTTGTTTAACGTTCCAACGTACGAGTTCAGAAGCGCTTAGCAACGCGAAATATAGGTTACCGTTTCCGTCAATCGCTTCTGCTGCACTTGGGGTTTTTCTGTCATTCGGAAAAGTCTGCAATAAAATAATTACACTTGTCCAACTGATAGTAAATTTATTTTCTCCATTACTTACGTGGAATAGATTGGGCGTCCCAAAAGGTTCGGTAAACAGAGTTTCGTTGTGAAGATGGTCAGTATAAACCCAATTCTCAGCGTCGCTAGACAGCGCGTGGTAAAACAGTTTTCTTTTTCCCATTCCATGAGGTGTCAGAGCTAACCCAATCAAACCGTCGGATAAGGGAAAAGTTTGCCCTAATCACAAAAAAAAATTAACGAATTAAGTGACCATTCCCCATACACATGATCGACCTGCGATATTTAATGTCGTGTATTCGGCAATGGGTAAAAAAGTTCGATCGACGATCTTCCAGGATCGATCGCTTCTTAAGTCGTACACTACCAACGAACTCGCATCGGTATCGGCAATATAAGCGAAGGTATTTCCGCATCGGTTCGCGTGGTCAATAACCTCTGGTACTATGGTACCATACATCGATATATTATAATGAATTTTCTCTGGTATCTCGTGCCTGTGCAAAAGTCTGTCCTGCAAACACAATTACGAAGCAGTATGGAAGTGATGCTGCACAAATCCCAAGAAGTGCAACAACGAAAATCATGGACGGCTTCACTGGCTAAATTGACAGTTTCTGATGTAACACTCTATAATGGTTGCTTACTAGTACTTTCCCAGTTTGTTTGAAGCATACAATCTTTTACTGCCGCGTTCTCCCAAATCTCTGACTTTTTGACTTTTTTGGTTCAATAGATCAAGCAATACATTCACTCTACAAACATATTATTCCCACTACATTTTATAAAACTTCTGGATTCCTTCTGCGTCACTTTTTGTTAACTCGAACTTGCGAAAGTTTCTCCAATCATCCTGTTAGCTTCTTCCGAGCTTGACTGAAACTGGTTCGCATTTTACTCCACCTGCTTACCTGTACACTTACATATACATGGAATGCTGTAAACTCCTGGCATCTCAAATGGAATTTTGTCTTTGACGGATCGAAGATGTTGAGAGATTTTTGGACAAGTGGTAAATCTGGTTTTGACGTTATGTTTCTTTAGAACTTTTGAATGTTTTGAATATAAGAAAGGACAACAGTGACAAATGTGGGATTGCTTTCGGCTTCATTGCTATTGGAAGGCTGTGGTGAAGTGTGTTTTGTGATGGAACGCTTAGTATCTTTAATGTGGAAATTATTAGAGAGAAGAGCAGAGGTAATGTGTTTTAATTCTGGGTTCAGCGGCTCTGCCTGAGATAGTTTTAGGGCTCTGTAAACGAGAGTGTTGATAACCGATGATTTTTGGGCCGGATGGTGATGTGACAATGCATTAAGGTGTCGGTCTATGTGCGTAGGTTTACTGTAAACACAATGAACCAATGTTAGGTCTGATCTAAGAATGTTAGTTAGTTTCTAATTCAATGGTAAAATACTAGGGAATCTTGATTTTCTTAGACATTTAAACTCTATACACCCGTATAGAGTTTAAAAGAAAATCAAGAATCCCTAGTATATACCAATAAAAAATTAGACCTAACATTGGGTCATTGTGTTTACAGAAAACCTACTCCCACAGAGCGTTACCTTAATGCATTGTTACATCACCATCCGGCCCAAAACCAAATTTACCACTTCATCTTTCAACATCTGTCGATCTGTCAAAGACAAAATTCCATTTGAGATGCCAGGAGTTTACAGCATTCTGTGCATATGCGGCAAGGAATACATTGGAGAGACCGGACGTAAAATATCAACTAGGCTCAAAGAACATGAAAGAGCCTTAAGAATAAGACAAATAAACTCATGAGCAGTCGCCGAACACAATCACGAAAGCGAACATAAAATTTTATTCGATAAAACTAAAATTTTGCATGTAATCAATTCTTCTACCAACGAAAAATCCATGAGTCTATAGAAATCTATAAGCAACCTAAAAATCTTAACCTCGACTGAGGTCTTTACCTGTCACCAATGTAGGAATCAGTTATGTGAGACGGTGTTTATGCCTCTCATTTAACTCCGCCCCCCTCAAACAATATAAAAGCAGGTACAGAGTAAAATGCGAGCCAGTTTCAGTCAAGCTCTGAAGAAGCCAACGGGATGATTGACAAAACGTTAGCAAGTGCGAATAAACAAAAACCGACGCAGGAGGAACCCAGAAGTTTTGTAAAAAGTATTACAGTGGCCTGTGGAAGTTTCTTTGAAAAATATTTTCCCCGCTGTTGATAAATATCTAAATCGTTAAATTCCTAGGTGTTTATTTTGATTCTCCCCTAAGCTGGTCCAATCAACTAGACCATATTTAGAAAAGTTATTGCTACATGTATATTTTGACAATATCCAGCACCTGTTTATACAAGTCTAAATTAAAATAAATGATTTTTGAATTTGAATCGCTATAAATTACCGTAAGCTTCTATCACAGTTATTGTTCGGTAATAATGTTCCACTTACTGTATTTGTATCGAAAATCAATATCTGGGGCTGGCAGATCTGCTCATTTTCAGCCTTTCCAGAGTCCGCTACCCACAATCTATCACATTCGTCGACCTGCAACAACACTAATCCTCATTAACGACTAAATCATAGCGCAGCGTTCAGAAACGTACAAAAACTCGCCAAACAGACACTATCTTGTCTTTGCAAATTTCAACTTGCTTATGCCAATCCCATGACGGGTAGGGTCTTATGACTGGGTTACCCTTGCGCTTTTTCTTGGTAACTGTACCTAAAACGGCAGGTACGCCGTCAGTCCACTTTGGAGTAGTAACAAACACGACCTTGTCATTTTCTGAGAGTATCATCCAATTATTCCTAAGGACTTTTTGGAAATTCCCTACCTACTTCTATGAAACACGTCTACATCAAACGGCACAGGATTCCCTTCCTTGAAATTTCCCGAGTCGATGTCACGTTGTCTCGCTGATTCGCTGGGGTAATCGTATTCCACCTGACTCCATTCGTACAATGTAATGAGGTTTCTGGCAGATGTCGCGCAAAAAGAAATTACAAAGCAGGTTAGAGCTAACGAACACATTATTGAAATGCTCCATCAAAGTTTCATCGCAGATTTAAGGAGGTACCCCAGTTGCATTAATCAATGGGGCAATGGCAGGTACTGAAATTAACTGCGGTATATTTATCGCTCCTCGCTCGTTTGCGACACAATTAATGAGATGATCGAGGCAATTATTAAGAACAGTACAATTAACTTTAACGACGTGATTCGAAAAGCAACCAAGTTAAAGGGCTACTAAGTAAAGATCCCTATGCAAGGCTGCCCTAACATATGATTTACAAAGTTTGTTTGATGAATCGTCCATATATGGACGATTGTGATTGTGCTTGCAGTCATCTTTTACAGCTATGAATTTAGCAGCGAATCAATAATTAAAACGATAACATAGCCACACAGAAACACACACACACACACACACACACTTAAAAGACCTATTATTTGTTATTATTATAATAGCGCCACACTCGTTATAATAGCAATTTCTCCATTTTTTTAATTGGAAATGTTCAGTTCCCCTGTGTGGTAAAAAATTCAAACCCACACTCTATAGTGTCGATGGAACTGGCATTCGCAATGGGTAAGCAAAAAATGTGCCACTTAAACTAAACAAAAAAAGTTCTCTTTATTCGTGTAGAAAGAATTGCGATTTTATCATTGTTCGCCATTTTAACTTCTGCAAATGGATTAAGAAATCTGAAGCTTGCCTACCAATGGACTCTGATTGATTACGACTACCCCAGCGAGGAAGCAAGGCAAAAAGATATCGACAAACAGCTTTTTCAGCCTGATGAAGTGGAACCGTTCGATCTGGATGTTTACTATAAAGGTAATGTGCCGATAGCCATTTATAGATAGGTATTAAACGCGATTTAACAATAGGTAGCGAAAGGAAGATATTTGTGACAACTTCTCGCTATTGTCCTCATATACCGGCAACTCTAAGTACAGTGACAAACAAAACTAGAAACGGCAATCGCGTAATTAAGCCGTATCCTTCGTGGGAGTGGCACAGGGATCCCGAAAAGTGCAGAAGAAATTCCTTGGTGTCGGTTTATAGATTATTTGTAAGGAAATACGCAGCAGAATTTGTACAAAGGCCGTTATATTTTGTTTCTTAGATTGACCAGTGTGACCGGCTATGGTTTTCTGATAACGGTCGACTTGGTGATGATTGGTTGTGTCCGCCTAGGATATTAGTGTTTGACCTCAAAAAGGTAAAACAAATAAAGTGCAGTTAGCACACCTGGACAATGAAAATAACTTTTTAAAGTTTTCATGTCGGTGCTCTTAGTTGGTTATATAGTCCTTAAGAACCAAAATGCCGAGCTCCTCCAAATATTCATTCTCTGAAGTATACCATGACCAGTAATATTGTGTTTTTACAACCCACACCGTGATTAACTTTGCCCAATGTTTATTATTCTAAAACTATTACGTTCTATTTCATTACATTTCTACATAGTATCATTACTAATATACAAAATATTAAATATGATAATAAAGTATAAGTCACTTAAAAAATTGTCTCTAGTGTGGTCACCTAGTTCAATGATCGACTGCGCCACTAATCGTTCTCGATAAATGTTTTCTTTTTTTATTATTCGTTTTTCACAGTTAGACGAGCTTTATACTGATATTTTAGCTACCTCTTGCCGAATTTTGTTTATGGTATTATCTCAAGATTTCATGTCTGTTTTGTTATGCTATCGAACCGCGAATATAATCTACAGTCTTAAAAAAGACTGTTAATGTTTACAAAACGAAAAATTTCAAGTTTCAACAAATATTCGTTACGGCCTATCTCAGGGAAGACCCGTTGTATAATCGCCCCGGCATATACTTATTGATTGGAGCCAAGTAAACTAACGTACGTACTAAAAGAGCTTTATTCCTCCCCTTCTTGTACATATATTAAAACGTGTCATCTTGTCCGATTCGAACCCTTTAAACTGAACCTTTCTACCGGTAATATAACACTTAAAAATGACCCTAGATGCCGGCACTAATATAAGAGCTGTTAAATGTAGAATAAACATCTATTAGAGTGGGTTTTACCACCGTCCTGCGAAGGTCTGCGGTTAAGGTACTGTGAAATACTTAAAACGTCAAAAGCAATAAATATATTTTTGGTCGTACAATAATAACTTCCTCTTTGCTTTGAAATATCTGTTTTCCACTTTGCGAGTTTTTAATGTTATTCGTCGCTGAGCGCCAAGTGGGACGAACACAGTGAGATACTCTATATTGAAGTATTTTATATCAGCACGTTACCATCTAGCCAAGGATAGTACGACGGGAGCGCCATCTCTATGTCAGTAGCGGAACTTGTCGCGAAATTCGCTATACTACGCCACGCTCACACATTTTAAATCATTTAATAGTTGCCCTTTTTAAGGATGAACTGATACACACGTACGAAATTCCACAAGAGCAACACAAGAACGTGTCGCTTTTCGGTACCATAGTGGTGGAAGTCGAAGATCCTTCGAACGGTTGCGCGAACAGCTTCGCCTACATTAGCGACTACGATGCCCGTGTTTTGTTGGTTTATGACCTTAAGAAGAACAGATCGTGGACTGTTTCCGATTACTCGTTTTGGCCGAATGCCGAATACAGCACGTTCAATGTTGAAGGTCAGTTTGAAGTCGCGGGTGAACTATGTTTTCTATTTTGTACTGATTTCAGGTAAAAGTTTCACTACGGCTGTCAGCGTAATAGGCATGGCTTTAAGTCCACCAGGAAAAGAAAGGATACTGTATTACCATGCCTTGTCTAATGACATTGAAGGCTGGATATACACTAAATATCTCAAGAACGAGTCGTTGTTTTCTGAACCTTTCGGACAATCCAAGTTGTTTCACGTAAGGAAAGGGTACACAGTTCGATAGGATTTTATTCTGCTTTAAGTTTAGGTATTTCCACATGAGCGAAAGGCGCAGAGCGGAGGTGAGTATATGGACAGCCACGGAAATCTTTACTTCGGTATATTACCAAGTGCAGCAGTGGTTTCGTGGAAAGCCAACACCGATCCGGAAAGCTATCAGATGGGAAACTTTAAAATAATAGATCGCGACGATGAAACACTTCAATTCCCTTTGGGCATCAAGGTAAACTAAATGTTAGTACCTTCAGTGAATATTTTTTTTTTCGAATTTTATCGCAGGTCAGAAGAAATGAGCGCGGAGAGGAAATTTTGTGGGTGTTCTCTACTGTCCTTCAACGGCTAATATCTAATACCGTCCTCTTTGCGAACCAAACGAACCTGAGAGTGCTTTACGGCAAAATCAACGATTTTCGTCCTTATTCAACTGATTAACATTACCTTGTGAGCTGTTATGTAATATTAAATGCGCTGCTCAGTATTTTATTTCATTTGTAATTTTATCTTGTTAGTTGTTTACAGCATTGCTATAGTATCAATCAACTAAAATTATTAGAACCAGATTTCATAATTCACAATTAAATAAACACTCAACACGTTTTAACTTGCAAGTCTTGTCGGGTGGCGTTACTATTTATATTTAAATTCTGCAATCTTCCCGGTGAGTATTCTGAAGTTGGTCTCGTTGGAATTCAACTGGCCGCTAGCGAGCTTCTGATAGGCAGTCGTCAATAACCACAACCATTCATGACTATTTTCGTCCAGAGTAACCTAAAGGAAAATGTCTTTAGTAATGGGGACTAAAAATGCACTGCGTTTACCTTAACCCCGCTGGGATACTGCAAAGTTTTTGGATCGTCGTCCACTACACGAAAATTTTCTCTGGAGTAATTTTTCGTCTTACTATTCCAAGAAACAACCTGGACGTCCTCGAGTAAACCAAAATACATCACGCCTTTGCTGTCCATCGCTTCCGCAACAGCTTGCGTTCCCCTGCCATTTGGAAATGTCTATCAAAAGAAATGGCATTATCATTACGGAGTTGGATGAGTTTTCCGTACCTGGAACAGCTTCATTGTTTCGGGCGATGGTTTAAGAAACAACGATTCGTTTTTAAGGTACTTTGTATAAACCCAGTGTTCCTTTTCTGATGACATCGGATGGTAATATAATAACCTGTCCATTCCTGGAGGACTAATAGTCATACCTAAGATTGCGTCTGCTACTTCGAAAGTGGTACCTGCAGATGATGTTAGTTACATCCATTACAACATAATTGAGGTTGAAGCTTACCGGCAACCCTATATTTATTAAAGACGGGATCTGGTCGGAATGTTTCGTGCCTGATACTCCAGGACTTATTATTTTCGTAGTCGTAGACAACCAAGGAACCCGCATCAGAATCAGCGAGGTAGACGAATGTTTTTTGACAGGAATTCGTGATACTTTCTACTTCGACAATAGGCGTTACATAAAGGGATACGTTTTGGTGTTGCTGTGCGGGAATTTCGTAGCTGTGCAACAGCTTATCCTTAAAAAGTTTATTTGGTAGATTTCTTTATGTAATCGCCTTTATAACATTCGTCTAAACTTACCGTCTTCATGTCAAATGCAAGAATTAATGGTGGACAGGCTTGTTCCTCTCCAATTTTTCCATTGTCAATTACCCACAGTCTGTCGCATTCATCAATCTGGAAATACGAAATCCGTTGCTGGTTGAGGTATTTTACCGAATAAAGGATATCTTATCGTTGTTTATCGTTAAGTAAGTACAAGGGATGCTTACGAATATTCTGTAGACTGATACGATTCTATTTTTTTTGCAGAGACGTGGTTCGGTCTGCCATTCCCACGATGGATACGGTTTTATAATCGGATTCCCCTTTCGAGTTTTATTGGTGACTGTTCCTAGAGTAGCCGGTATTCCTTCCCTATATCTAGCGCTGGTTACAAAGATAACATTTTTTCCAGCTGAATAAATTATAAAAAAAATGGTCGATTAACATATGCAATATGGTCGGAGGCTCTTTCAAAAAGTTTAGCATTTTAATTTTTAAACCAGTCATGAGTTAATATAAACAGAAGAATAATACGTCTCGCTGCGTCCAGAAATTCTGCTATTATTATTATTTTCATTAATATTAACGTTAGTAGCTGCTATAAATTTCAAACAAACGAATTGTGAACTTGACCCACAATCTCGAAAAAATCATTGGTGTTATGTTGAATAAGTCGATGTGCTAGAAATGTTGACGACTAGGAGGTTATATTTTCTTCAGTTTTAAATAGTAAAATGTGGGTAGAGTATATAGGATAAACATACAAGGTGCTAAATTAGTGAAGTTAGCCGTTCACCTGTTTTCTTTTTGCATTTATTCTTAATCCATTTAGATTTTTCGTTCAGAAATTATTAGAAGCCATGATACCAATGTTATTTAAAGGTCCAATTTTATTTATCCTCTAGCATATTTAAGTTTTTTTCTATAATGCATAGGCTCGTGACCTCACGAATAAGGACTATATTAATAATAACAACAAATTCAATTAAAATATAGTGAACTGCAGCGTAAACACAAATTTAATGTCTTTCACCAGGCCTTCACATAGATAGCCACTAAAGGGATTTTGATATTTGTCAGTTCTGATGGTCATGTCAGAGGTCACCCAGTGATTCTATTCATGTTGATTTGCAGAAATATTTCTAAAAACTGATGGTCTAATTTCTTTAGCCATTCGTTTATTAAAAAACACCCTCCTGACTATATGTGTCGTTTATGAAATTTGTAGTATATACTAATATTTAGAATTCTGCCAAATCTAATAGCACAATAGATGATAATAATAATATTATTAGCACTTTATCATACAATATATATACACAGGGGACGTAAAAACTAATCTTAAATCTACAAATCTTGTAACTAAAAAAAAGGAAAAAAGAAGAAAGAAAAGAAAAAGACTCGTAGTGCGGATAACTCTACGCCAATGGAAGTTGCCGAAGTATCGCCCGGAGATCATCATAATATAGAGCAGAGTGCGATGATACTTTGTTGAAGGTAACACACGTAATGTTAATGAATATTGCATCTGGGTAACTGCAGTAAGGAAGTTGATTGATGTCTCCAGAAGAAACGGACAACCGTAATGAACTAACTTGTAGACAAATGAAACGGACTGCAAGTGCTGTGCAGTGAACCTTCCCAGCAGAAGATCATGATCAACTCCCCTCTCTGGATAAGACCAGTAAGCTCCTGTGCACACTCTCGACTGAGCGTGGCAGTAATATATTGGTGACCGTACTACCTGGCTCGGTGGTCAAGCTTGGACCTTACGTATCTGTTAAATAACAATTTGCATTACACTGGAAATCATTTTAGTAATGTGAGGTACAAAACAGAAAGTCTGGCCAAAAAAAATCCCCAGATCTTTTACAGTGGCAAGTCTAATCAGGATAGTACCTTTCATATTGTTTTTAAAGACTATAGGAGTTTTTGTGCGGTGGTAACAAACCACATTAAACTGGTTGATCTTAAGATGCAATTTATTTTTAGTACACCACTGACTGACAATATTGATGGGCTGGAGAGTCATGCAATGCAGTGATATAGTTTTAGGCCATCAGCGTAGGTAAACCTGTCGCATATGATCAAAGATATCTATAAATATATTGAACAGAACAGGTCCAAGGTTAGAACCTTAAGCCACACCAGAAGTTGGAACAAGAGGAACTTATCCAAACCCCTTAATCTCAACGAACTGTGCACCAGATAGGACCTCAACACTGAAATAAGCGAATCGGAGAAACCAAATTTTTGAGCTTTTCCAATCAGTAACTGATGATCTATGGTCAAATGCTTTGTGGAAGGCATTGTATATGACGTCAACTTGGCTTTGCTTCTTCTGAGAGTCACAAACATAAGAAGACAGGGAACATAAGTTGGTGATACATGCATCTTTTTGCATACACACCATATTGTTGCTTAGATAGATTTCTAATTTGAGCAAAAATGAATTTATGTAATATAATTTCCAATTTATAGATGATATAGAACATATAATGTATAATTTCAAATTCTAATTCTTTTAAGATTCTAATTTTATTTCTATTTCTATAGAAGTCCAACTAGTACTTACCACCAAAGTAGCCTTGAACATCAAAGGGTTGCACCTGGCCCTTTACAAAATTTCCGGACTTAATGTCGGCCTCTCTCGCAGCATCGCTTTGATAATCGAACTCCAACTGACTCCATTCGTAAAGCAATTTTAAATTCTTGAGGGCTGGGCGTTGATGTACTGCTACGCAACTGGCACAAATCGCAAGCAAAAATGTCGTTAATCTCATTGTACCCGCGCAAATAATACCGCATCAACTTCGTCCAACCGTATCTCGTTCAGTCGTGCTGTGCGATTTGTGTAAACCAATGCATGTTTTTTTTCCTTTATAGTTTCATTGTAAAATTCCGTGAACCGTTAAACTTATAATTAATACACGATAAGCAGTGTGCTTATGATTATGCGCCGATGCGAAAACCTAATTAAATCTCCGCGGTAAAACAGTTTTCCCCCCAAGCGAGTTCGAAAAGTATATTTCCCAATTCTAGTTATCGCGAATTGAAGGGGAATTTGTACGCTTTGAGAGCGTTATTTCCCTGAATGTGCATTCTTGGTCTCGATTACGTGTAACTATCAATCTTTATGCGATGTTAAAACAAATGTCTGCTTTATTATTATTATCTAATTTAGATCGACATAACCAGCGGATTTTTTATAATTTTTATAGGTGACGTAGAAATTGCAGCACTCAGTAAATATAAATATATAAATATGCACCTGCCAAACGTGCTCAAAATATCACTTTAAGGCGTCAGCTCCATTTAGAAAAGCATATCAGCAAACTGGTTAACAAATGAAACTAAAATATCCAGCACTAAAAATAATTTTCTATTTTCTGCTCCAAAATACTCAATTGTGGATTGATCTGAATTGGAAATACCATTTCTCCGACCTGAAAACGAAACTATTCGTCGTCTACCTTCTAAAAGGTTTGAGTAGTGCGAAAACTCTTTTAATGTTTTTTTTTTTCTTGCACACATTCTTATGTTATGGTAGGTCTTTTTTTAATCTAAGCGTGCAAAAGTCTGCTACGTTCTGGTCTTGTAAGTTCTGCAGTTAAATGCTGTTGAATTATAAGAAACAAACATATTCCAAAACATTAAATCATATTTTTCGCTAACACTCAATGGGAATGCATAGGGCGGTCTTATGTTATTACTTTTTTTTTAAATGTATGCGCTATACCAAAGTTAAACATCAACAACACTAAAATTAAAAAAAAATATGTATCAGATATACCGCTACATCTTTAATATATTCTTAAAGTATTACGTACATTTGTTATTGGGAGACTCATTGTGTGTTTTTCAAGTTTGCTGGTAATTTTTCAACAAAAAGAGGCTAATGTTTTCTCGGCTCTCATTTTTAAGAGAACCTTAATGGGAGTAACGATAGTTTTTATCTTGTTCGCTCTATTTAGTGGCACTCTTGGAGAGGCCACAATTTTACTTACTGTAGCAATGTCTCTTTTACACTTTTCCCTCATTGATTGGCAAGAGCGAGTTCATCAGTAGTATTATCTGAGATAAGTCCTACTTTTCGCAGCTATATTGTTCTTTAATCGATTAGATATACCATTAATGGTCAAACGACTCTCTAACCATTGTTTGTTATGTAGCAAAACAGTATTAATTGAACGGTTACTCTGTTCCGATTTAAAAACGAATTATGCACATAAGTTTTTTGCTACTTTCATTAAATTGTTTTATTAAATTTAGTTTTATCGAATAAAATTTTATGGCCGTTGTCATGAGTGTGTTCCGCAACAGCTGATGAGTTTATTTGTCTTAGTCGTACGGCTCTTTCGTGTTCTTTGAGTCGAGTTGATATTTTTCGTCCGGTCTCTTCAATGTATTCTTGGCCGCATATGCATGGAATGCTGTAAACTCCTGCCATCTCAAGTGGAATTTTGTCTTTGAAGGACCGAAGATGTTGAGAGATTTTTGGACAAGTGGTAAATCTGGTTTTGACGTTATATTTCTTTATAACCTTTGGTGGTGTTGTGATGTTTTGAATGAAAGGAAGGACCACAATGGCAAGTGTAGGATTGCTTTCGTCCTCATTGTTATTGAAGGGTTGTGGTGAAGTGTATTTTTTGATGGAACGCTTAACATTTTTAATGTGGAAATTATTAGAGGTAAGGTGTTTTAATTCTGGGTTCAGTGACTCGCTACGCTTGTTCCAAATAAGCTCGTAGCTCAAATGCCGTTTACCACACTTGTTGCATAATATACTAAAATTTTACGTCTTTTGCAGGCCTAGATTAGCAAAAAAGACCTTCGTACACTGTGGGTAACTCCTCATCAACTTGTCATTAAATAATACCTTCAAAATAGTATATATAATAGATAAAATACTCAAAGCTCTATGAAACATTATTTTTTTATTATTATTTACTTATTGTAAAGTTAGGTGCAGACAGTACATGGTACCAACAAAAAAAAAATTATAATGAAGGTAGTATTGCAGTAAGAAAAATCAAAGAGGCTGTGAACATATATAGAGGCAAAAAAGAATTGTTTACATTTCCTTTAAATAAAAATAATATTAAAAAAGTATCACCACATAGTGAATTCGATCCACGATACTGGATACTAAACAAGCGTCTGGTTCTTAAGTTTAGTCTTGGAACTCGCAAAATTAATGCAGGCAGGGAGAGTCCACCAAACAGTATAGTCAACTGTTTGGTGGCCATTAAAAGGTGTGACAAGGTAGGCAGGGTAATTATTTTAAATTTTCGTCTTATTTCTCAATAGTTGTAATTTTTCTATCGGACTATTTGTTGTAAAACCAAGATGTTTAATTTGTACGTCGTACATTGAATTCGAAAGTTCAGTTTGCTATGTAGAAAAGAATTATATAGAGATATCAGAGCTTTATGATTCTTAAGATATTTGCAATTTCTTTTAATAAAGCATTACTCATTTAAAATATGACAGATATGACATAATCATTTTTATAATTTTTCCAACATAAATTCCTTTTTTTAATTTAATACGCGTCTTAAAACGGCAGCTGTTAATGTTAAACAAATAAGGAACAAAAATATTTCTAGCCAAGGTGTATTATAAACGTAAAAAATATGTGCTCCCTTGCTATGGACCGAAAAGAAATGATGTACATTTGATATATATTGAATTAAACAGAAGCCTTTAAAACAAAAACTCATGTTACATTTTTTGTTACTTAACAACAACAATCGAAATTAATCACTGTGAGTTTAATTGTATACAAAGTCTGAAATTTTCCCGCAAAGGATTCTGAAGTTGGTTTCGTTCGTGTAAAGATTGGTGGAAGCCACCTTCTGGTAGGCGGTGGCGAATACCCACAAAAATTCATCGCCGTGATTATTTTTGGTAACCTGCAACGCTTCCATCTAATTAACCAATGCTTTGTCGAAAATTCAAAATTCACCTTAACTCCGCTAGGAAACTGAAGCCGTTCCGTATCTTCCTGGACGACCCTAAAGTACTCCCGTCCGTAGTTTTTCGATGCCGTATCCCAAGCGACAATCTGCACGTCTTTCAGTAGACCAAAGTACATGATACCATTTTTATCGATCGCTTCGGCTGCGCTTTGGGTCTTTCTTCCTTGAGGAAACGTCTGGAGAACGATAATTAGTCAAGAAATCCGGGAATTAATTCTTTAAAAATTAAAAGGTACGGTGCATTAAGCTTGCAACTGATTTTGTTTAATATTAATTATAATTGATATCTTAACTAAATTTTGGTTTATGATCTTTAGTTTCGATACACTAGCAGGGTGGAACATAGAAGTTATTTGATTATGAGAAATACAGCGAAATACCGGGAAGTTCCCTGACATTTAGAACCCTGGCTTTGTAAAATATGATAAATTAAAAAATATACCTATGCCCCTACCCTTTATTTATCGAATTACTAATTATATGTAAAATGCTTAGAATTCATTTTAAAAGGTTTGGAAATATTTTTATACATAATAAACGGCTTTTTTTATTAGTCAAATAAAAAAAAACATATACATATTCACAAGTTCCGACAAATCATCGGATCATTATACAATTTTTTTTTTAAATTATATGAGAAAATTAAAACATAATGGTGTAAGATAGAGGTATAACATAACTTAAGATAAATAAAAAAAAAACTATATATACTGACAGAAACTGAGAGCTACAATACTATTCTTTCACGAGAATCTGTATCTGTGAAAACGAAAATTACATATAAAGGAGAACTAAGTATATGTCTACTGTTGTATATCATTTTTAATGAAGGATATGAGTTTTCAATTAGGATTTTAATATATTCCCTAAAGCGCAACTCGGTATCCAATATAATATCCAAATTTTTCGCAGAGCTGACCACTGAAAGCCTGATACGATCAATACGAATATCCGCATTAAATTAGATTTAGGATGATTAACTTTAAGCTTATGTTGTGAGGAAATTTGTTTTAACATATTCATGTCCTCGCTTATTAACCTGGATGCGTTTTCGTAATCAGAGTGATTAAAGTGAAAATAAATCTGCGTATCATCGGCATAGGCCTGGACTTTACAGTGCCGCAAGGTCATCAAAATATCAGCTGTGTAAATAATAAAAAACAGAAGTCCGAGGATAGAGCCCTGCAGAACACCTGACAAAATCTGAACTCGCTCTGAAACCGCGCCGCTACACATAATTTTTTGAAATCTGCTAAAAAAGTAGGATGTTACCAGATCAATCGACTGTTGTGAAAGTCCATAATATTCAAGTTTTGCGAATAGAAGTAACGGTATCAAAAGCCTTTGAAAATTCCAAGAGTATGAGTGCAGTATGGATTCTTTTATCAATAGCGGAAATTATATCGTCTGTTAAACCAACAAAAGCAACCGAAGTACTGATATCTTGCCTAAACCCACACTGACACTCGGGTATGACGTTATTAACAATGCAATAGTTAAATAGCTGTTTGTATAAAACTTTTTCAAAAATTTTGGAGAGAACCGGTAAAATGCAGTTTATCAGATTATCATAAAAATGGCACTTTTAATTGTAAAACATTTTGACTTTTCATAGTAGTTCATACTTTTTATGTTTTATGAATATTTGCAAAAATTCCATTACTGCTTTTATTGCATTATGTTAATTGTTTACATTTTATGTTGAAAAGTCTACATCATGCTTTTAGATACAAAACACGATAGCCTCATTTAAAATTTTTTGCATAACTTAAGTTTTTGTTTTCTACCAAATATGTTGTAGACCACGTGGCACAAAAAAATTCTCCAAATTAAATATAATTTAAAAATACAGGGAATTATTTTAAATGGAAATAGAAATAAGGACATTCGTTCAAAAATATCATGGTAAGTCGCTAAAAAGATGCAAAGCGTGGAAGGGGAAAAAATGAGCAGACACAATGAAACATTAAATTCAAAATTGCTATACCAGCCTCCTCAGATTCGGTACTAAGATTGATAGGACCTTTTAAACTTAGTGTTGAATTGCTTATGTTATAATCTTTTTCCGTATAAAGCTTTTGACTTTATATTGAAAAAGAATAATTCCTATCATCTATAAATGACCCTTGGTCAATATCGATATAGAATAACGATTAAATTTGACCCAAACATAAAACTTGTATGTATTTATTTACGTATGTTGCTTGTATGTGGTTCGAGTAGAAATAACATTTGTAGAATAGGCATTACTTTTAATACAACCCCAATCTGTAAAAGGGGATTATTATTTTTTCTGCATATACTTCTAATGGAAATTCTTTCAACCCGGTATACGCACGTGAAACAAATGGCTAATATTCGACGCAGGCGCGGCGAACAAACGTTCATCTTTCAAGTGTTTCGTGTAAACCCAGCTTTCCGTTTCCGAAGACATCGCGTGGTAGAAAAGTTTTCTGTTTTCTCCCGGTACTCCCAGCGCCATACCCAATATTCCATCGGAAACATTAAACTCACGTTCTAAGATATAGACATAATACATTTTAAGCAAGTGTAGGAGAAAAGCTGCAATTACCGGCGATTTCATATAAGATGTAATCTTTCTGGGGTAAAAACGATTCGTGATCTACTCTCCACGATCTGTCATTCTTGTAGTCGTAGACGATTAGGGAATATCCGTCGGAGTCTGCGCCGTATAGGAATGAATTCTTACCCCCGTCTAGTGGGTCTTCAACCTCAACTTTCGCTGTTACGTAAAGTGATCGATTTTGGTGTTGTTCTTCCGGAATTTCGTAGGAGTGTATTAATTTATCCTAAAGGGCGGGTTGAAAATTTAAATGTTCTAATCTGTTATCAGTCTAAATGAAAACTAAAGCGGGTTTGAAGGAATATGAAAAAGTTTTTAAAAGATTACTTTAAAACATATAAATTAATTTTAAAATATACTTTTTTTATATTATTTTAGAAACGGGTTCTAGATATCTTTGTGAAATTTGATAAAAGTGCGTAACAATTCTTTATATTTCTACCAGCGGCACCCGTCCGCTATTTTAATAGCATATTTTTGAAGAATAAAATGGTTCGATACAGATATTTTTTCAGGTGAATATTTTTTTTGCATAGACCAGTTATTTGTGCACAAAGTGACTTCTGGCATTTTCCTTAATCTTGATTCAGGATTAAAATTAAATTAACTTCATAGCGCCACATTTGAACACACTGACCAATAATTTTTGAGCTCGGCCTGGAATAAATTACAATTTATAAACATCATTTTCAAATAACACTTTGATTACTTATTTGGTTAGTTTTGGTAAACGTACCTCAATTTTTATCTTATTTCAGTGTGACGTTGAGTCAGTTTAATATTATTAATTTTTTCTAAAAAAATCTGTCAAAATGGTGAATTATACGAATTGCACAAAGAGATGTAGATTCTTTTTTCAGAAAATAGAAAAAATAATTTTTTTCCTCAAAACTTCAACACCCTATATGTCAAAAGTTAAGACGCTTGGGACATACATTCATAAGAAGTTTTTGTCTTAAAATATGCTCAAAAGTTGACAGAACATTTAACATGTGAATAGCGTGTATATTTTCAATTATACTTAAACCTTTTCTGGGCATAATTTGATATTTATTTAAAGTTTGCCCATCTTTTTAAGAGTTTTTAAATGTGTCATAATCATCATCATCATAAATGGAATTTACGAAATTTACGAAAAATGAATACCCATAGAAACACAAGTTGCTCTGGTAAAAAGTTTTAACTTTTTCTCCAAACATGTTATTGAAGCATGCATGTACTGTCATCAGTAACCACGAGGAAAAACTCACAGTTTTCAAGTCGAAGAGTAGAATCTGCGGGGGACAAACTATTTCGGGTTCGATATTGCCAGTATCTATAATCCACATTCTGTCGCAATTATCTAGCTAAAAAAAAATTTTTTACCTATAAATTTAATATCTTAGATCACATGGGTCTAATTCAAAAATGTTCTTTTATAGAGACAATGTCTCTTAAAAGTATTCGGAATCAAATTTTTTTAGAACTTCAATAAAACCTATAACAATTTTTTTGCATTGATTTTAATATCACTCGTTACACCACGGCAAACGAGCACCATATATTTTTAAAATAGTATTTTTAGAAAGAAAACAACTTAACTTTGCAGATAGTAATGAAAATCGACATTGAGTGTTTTAGTCGATTTATAAATGCATTAAAACTAAGTACCCTAGATATATTTATTAGTACCATTAGTGCTTCAGTGGATATTTTTTTATTACTACAAAGCAATGTCACCATGTAAGATTTTAGAAAGATATCGATCGCCCTTTTTTATCATAGATTCAATTTTTCAATATAGATGTCGCTTCAGTCGTTTTCTATTCTATTTTATTCCGGGCTGTCGTGACAAGATTGTTAACAGAAATATGTACAAATGCAATACTTATACGTATCTGTTTGCTGATTTCTACACTTATCTTTACAAAAAACAGAAGACGTATCACAAAATTCACATGTGGTCTAAACTTTAAGTATCTGTTTGTATATAAAAAGAAAAAAAGACCTCCAACAAAACTAATAGCTAAAATGGTCATCATTTTGAAAAGTAACTAGGTTTCTAGGTTATTTCGAAAATAATTTATTGTCGCATTATTATATACAAGAGCCAGTAGCCAAGAGTTACCGGTCAAGCAAGAACAAAAACCTTATTTAAAGATTAAAGTTAGAAAATTCCTTAGGCTATTCAAACCTTTTAGAGCACGAACAGCCGTTTGTGTATAAGCTATAAGTTTTGGTTAATTTAGTGTTCAAATTAACTCCAAATTGTTTGCTTCTTTTTCTAATGGCCTAGTAATGTTGCCTATTATTATGCATAATTTAGAAGTAACATTTTTTTATGTTTAAGAGCACACCATGATCTTTAGAAATTCTGTCAATTCGTTCAAGGTCAGAACTGGTTGTCGTCAGCATGTGACAATATTTACTAGGAATTTTGTTGTGAAAATAATAAACAGAACAGGAGCTAACATGGTTGAACCCCACTTCTTATGGCTAGGCAAGCAGACTCGATCCCGTTCAAGACCACCTTTTGCGTTAAAATTTCTAAAATGATGGGTGAAAACGTCAATACAGATATAAACCGTTTTGCTCTTAAGTTATTCTACTTTAAGCCCCTGTGCCTCTTTTTTTAAGGTCTAATTATTCCAATACAGCGGTATCAACACTCAACAACGCAATTCAAACATAATTATTATACACCTAACTCGAAATAGCAATTGTTTAGAAGACACTTCTGAATTTCTGAAGATGAACTGTTTAAACTATATAATGACATTTCCCATTCCCTTCGGAATTCTTTCTCAAATGACTAAAAACCTCGTTACTTTCAAAGGCGCAAAATGTAAATCTTAATTTAAAACATTGTATGTTGTTATTTGTAATGATAAGTGTAGAAATCAAACAAGTGGAGCGGATCTTGAAATAAAATAACTCTCACTGGAACTTTAGATATAACATGATTGGTCCTTACCTCAACGTTTTTGCATTCAAGTTATTTAAATAGGTAAAACACTCACAAATGCCCGGTAAACTGATACGATCCTGTGCTTTTTGCATTTTCTTGGATCGGTATGCCACTCCCAAGAAGGATACGGTTTGAGGATATGGTTACCTTTCCTCCTCTCGTCGGTTACGATGCTGAGCGTGGCAGGAATGCCATCCCTGTATCGCGCAGTCGTTACAAATATTACTTCCCTTTGTTTTTCTACAACAATAATAATGAAGAATGAAGAATGGACTGTCGGCTCACCTACCTTTATGGTATATTTGTACGTCGAAAGGTTGAACGAAACCTTCAGCGAAGTTTCCGGAATCGATATCATTTTGCCTCGCTTCTTCGCTAGGATAAGCGAATTCTATTTGGGCCCATTCGTAGATGACCTCCAAATTTTGTCGATGTTCGTGGTCGATTGCATTAGACACTTCGATCAGTCGGTAAAGAGTTATGATGATCGACCACTTCATGTTGACGGCAACGCAATAAGGAAATGTATTCCTAAGCGGTTTATTTCAATTCGCATTATACGATTATCGTCTGTAACGTATTAATTGCTTCAAGGAAAATACTAAAAGGATAAACATGATAACAAACTTAAAAGCCTCACTTTCCAATCAGAATTTTTTATCTGTACACAAGTCTTATTTTTTTGCTGTTGATCATTTGCCGCTAGGTCATAATATATCCGATTCGTACAACAATCCTTCACACGTTTATTATATAGTTTTATCTGTACGTCAATATTCGCCTGCGCTATAATATCATTTATGCAGCTCTGAAAATAACTTCGTAAAAAATTTTTCAAGTTTCGGGCGTTTTGAAAACCGTCACTGTATGTTTAAAAAATGTATCCAAGACATGTAGCAAGATATATTATTCTACTTGTGGCAAAGGGCATCACTCAATTTGTGTAAAATTAAGCGAATTAGGGTTATGAGTGATAGCTGAAGGAAATAAAATTTGGGTATATGGCGTGTGTAGGAGGAAGACTGCAGTATCGTTGGGAGAAGCGCAGTGTTCCTCAAATATAAATGCAAGTCATACCAGGGTGCACAGTGTTGATAATGATGAATCACTTCGTCTATTAATACTTGATCTTAAGAATGAAATTTCAAGCCTTAAAAACCTTAAAGGAATGTCTAGGTTTCTGTAAGTCCATGTATGAGTATCAAAAACAGACAAATAAAGTTATGGGCGAGATGATAGACGAGGGTTGAGGGTTGATGTCCAAATGTTGCAGTACAAATTACATGATATGGAAGTGGAGAGAATGGGAAAGAAGTTACTTGTAAATGGAGCATATGACGATCAAGATGGTGACGCAACGATTAAGGAGAAATCCTTAAAGGTAATAAAGCAAGTAAATAGTTGCATAACCGAAGATCGTATTGAAATTCTAAAAATTGTTAGGCCTAGGACTAGACGACCATCGACTTCTATTAGCTTTAAAGAGAAGAACCAGGCTACAGAGCTTTTGCGCCTCAGAAAACAAACGGGTCCTTTGGACCCAACACTGTGTTTAATAATCAATCTAAAACAAAAATTTTATCAACGAACAGTTGTGTAAACCAACTTATGAACTGTTAAAGAATGCGGTAAAATTGAAGACCAAAGGCTACAAATACGTGTGGAGCAACAATGGACTTGTTGTTGACACGTTAGTGATCTTGTACAGCGTGGAGTGCAGGAAGAGTAAACTCTTCTTTATGCTACTACTCGCAAATAAGGGTCTGTGTGTACAGTACAATTTGGAACGAAAAACCGCCCTATGAATTACAGTACCTTAATAAAAACAGAAAATAATTCGTTGTAGAATAAATAATCAATTTTTAGGACTATATGTTGATCAAACATTCTTATGGACTCATCATACTGATAATATTCTATCCAAAAAGAGCACTTATTATTTTTGTTGAACTGTTAAAGTTAGTATACCACGGGCTTCAATCAGCAATGTCCTCCGGTTTAATTTTCGGGGGACAAGCATATGAAGCACATTAATTTTTCGTGGCACGAACTCCAGTGATCAGAGTCATAGCAAGGGTATCAAGCTCACAGTTGTATCGACTTGATCCTAGCTTTGCAGAATTGGCATGAAATAATAAAATTAAATTAAAACTCAGTCAGTTCCTTGTTAAAAAATCATATTATACACTGTACGAATTTTCCAACGTCCGGAGATTTCCAAGTTTTTGAGGCTTTATCTTATAAAACTCTGTTTGATGTTTTTTTGCTTTAATTGTATATTTGTTTTTTCTTATATTTTAACATGTATTTGTCCTTTGCATTAGTTTGTATTGTAGATTACAATGTAATATCTTTTTATTTCTTTCTTGACGATCCCATAATGGATTGTATTATTTAACTGTACGCATTAGAAGGAGCGGAGTTAAAAAAAATCAAATCAAATCGACTCGACTCGAAACTGTTAAATCGAATAATAACCGAATTTTCTTTATTATTAGTATAATTTATTATAACTTGTAATTTTTATGTATCACGTTAGTGATCTTGTACAGCGTGGAGTGCAGGAAGAGTAAACTCTTCTTTATGCTACTACTCGCAAATAAGGGTCTGTGTGTACAGTACAATTTGGAACGAAAAACGAATTTTGGAGTATAGTTTTGAAAATAAAATTAAAGGCAACAGACATCATAAATACAAGTTGTGGATAAAATACTACTGGCGTTCCCTTTTGACAAACTCGGTAACTATTGAATATCGACCAAATGCGCACAATGAAATAAAATCTATATACTGTGCCCTCAGTATAAACATATTTGCCGTAAAGATGGCGGAAGCGGAAGCCTACATATAGAGATAGAGAAAAAAGTTGTTGATTCAATTCAATTCATCAAGCGAGGAAAATTAATTATATTTTTATACATATATTGACCTCCTTTGCATAAGTTTCAAAACATGTATTCCAATTTTCGTCATACAATAGTCCTGAACTGTTCTGTTTCGAATATTTGAAAATATTTGTATATTATAAAATATACCATAAAGTGATTATTCAAAATGTATGTTTGTAATCGACATGCAGGGTGATTCACGTTGGTTGCTAAAGGAATAAAAAAGACGTAAATCTTAAATTTTGAATTTTTTTAAACATTATAAGTTAACTGTTTCTAATAGAAGATATTTATTGGTAGATGTTACAGGGTACTCTATTTGAAATTTGAAAGGTGCCGTTAGTTTCGGCTGGATATGGTAAATACGTCTTTTTTAAAATATTTATTAAATATGGATTGAGATCAATAACAGTTCTTTGATAGGTATGTATTCATTTTTATTGTACAATCTTTAAAAATTCCAAAAATTCCATTTCAAAAGAAATGTAATACCACGTAGAATTAGTTCATCGGATAGTAACCTGAGATTTTTCGATAACTTTGCTCCAATTATCGTTTCAAGAGGTAGATTTTAGCATTTAATTTAAATGATTATAATATTTTAGGGCACATTGTAGCTGAAATTTTTGGTGGATATATTGCTCTAAATTTAGGAAGATGCAGTTAGTTGTTTTTTCAAAATTTTGTGCTCAGGTATATGGGTAGATTACTTCAGGTCTTTTCGAACGACTTTTTAAAAAATGAAAATTATGAAAAGCTGGCCCATGAAGCCATTGCGTAGGTAATTGGCAAAACTTCCATTTGTCGACCAACATTCTGCGCAAAAATAATTTCATCCAAAGCTTTTATACCTCGGTCGCTTTGCCGAGACCCTGTCAACTTAGAACTTAGAACGGAACTATCAGTTTATAAAATGATAAAATCGTTTAGCATTGAATTGGCCTTAAAAATTTGACGATCAATCATTATTACGCTGGTGATTGATGAGAGCGCAAGGAATCAAAAGAAACTTTCCTGGGAAATGTGCACGGAAAACCGCTGACGGTGTGGCAACGGTTTTTTCAAATTTCCTATTTTTTTGTTAACATTTCGAATTATTTTACGTAAGACATAGCTAATATTAATATTATTATTAATATTAAGATTTAAATTAAATGCCTATTTACCACCATCGTGCTCTCGTTTAGTTTGGTGACATAACCTCGTTCTAATGGCTTTATCCCATAAAGACCTAAATATCGTATAAAAGGCGAACGTAAAACCGAACGTAAGTACATTTTTATTTCCTACTTTGCAGTAAAAAACGAGAGCCTATTTCCTCTTTAACCAATAATAAAACAATTTTATTGATGCTTTGTTTAAAAAACGAATCAAACATAAAAATGGCTATAACGGTGATACGATACACACGACAGAGTTACGTTCCATGTGATTACCGTGATATATATTTGGTCAATTCATTCTTTACATTATTATTATTAATATATTTTTCAGAAAACCGGTTTTTGTTTTAAATTTTGTTCTCGGTTTAAGCAATTAAAATACAGGCAACCTTTTTTAATACCTCGCTTCTTTTCAAGATTTTTATGCTATACCTATGCTATATACTATTATATACTACTTGACTTCGTTTCGCTTGACATTTCTTGTAATTTATAAGCGTTTCTGTTTATACAAATTATTGTGAATTTCGAAAGACAATTTTTTTGACAATTTGCTTGTTGTTGTCAAGTGAGAAAAATATAATGTGCCTTGACAATTATGAAAATTTGGAATAGGGTTTAATAATATAGTAAAAAATTCTTTTCTTTGCATATGTTTGCTTTATTTTAGCTCACTGAAAATTTTCCATGGAATGTTTATTGATTTTGTTAAATGTAAGATGTATATATTTTATGCATCGCAACGTTTGTTTTGTTTTTAAACAAAGGTTTAAAAAAATGTCTGTTAGTTTCCTGACTCAATTAAAAGTTTTTAATATTGGCGAACCGACCCGGCGCATCCACCAGTGCATGCCTTTCTCGGGACATGTCGAATATTCGACACTTATCGCGAGAGGGCGCTGCGATCTATAATAGAGATATACAGTTCGATATAGAGCAGAGTAGAAGATAGCGCGATATTAGTAGCATATGCATAGTGAATAAAATTTTCGTTTTTTTTTAAAGACATGAAAAAATGTTTATCTAGTAGGAGAAGCAAATATATTTCATACCGCTTTAATTATTTTGTATTTTTGTATTTAGAATAAATAAAGCAACAACAGTTTAAAGGATTTTCTATTTCTTGTACCACGTATATGTCACAGATAAAGAAGTTTCACTTATATTGTTTTACCAGCTTGTTTGACCGCTGGAATGTATACAAAACATTTTGAGTATGGTATGATCATCAGGAGCAAGCAAAAGCAAAACGGTCGTCGAAATCAACATGCAATTAAGGCACGAAGCTCGAAAAAATAATAAAACGGAGCACCGCCCACTTAATTACAAACCCAAGTCGCATTGCTCTGTTTACCGTACAAGTTCTATATAATTAATCACCAAAAAGCAGCGCCATTTATCATGATTAAAACATTCGTTCGGAAGTTCCCAAACTCTGGTTGTAGGAAACTCTTTCGACAAATTATACGAAAGGAAAATTGTGGGGCTCGCGGGACCGAATTGTCCTATCTCTGCGTTTTTGTCCCGTTTAGCCCGAAGTATGTTTTCCCAACTGGTGCAATTTGCATTCGACCATATACCATATTTAAGTCTAACGAATATATATATATTTGCAGCCGCCTAGTTGCGACACCATTTGTTTCTCAAACGTTTGTGCTGTTGACCATACGGCATGTTTATTTCTGACAATCGCATAGTTCGATAGTTTGTTAATAGAATTTTCCTCATTAACGATGGTAATGGTAAACAGTGGCAAATCGTGAACGTTTTGCGTCACGAAGTCCGTATACATGATCGTTAAGGTCTAAATATGTGGGGCATTGATAGCACAAATTGTTTTACGTTTGCAATTTTAAGAACTGTTGAGAAAAAGGGTTTATTGTTCATTTTTCAAATTTCAAATCTCGAATACAAATTTCATAAATTGAATAACTAATTTAAACTTTAGCAAGAATCGTGGAACTGATTTAGAATAGTCGAAGTTAACTTTTCTAAAATAATAACGACACTAGTACTCCAACAAAAAGGGGAGGTTTTGGCTTCTGCCGACGAAAGTGTTACTTTTCTATGCTTAATAGGGAAACTGACACTTTCTCGATATTAAAATAAAAAAAAAGCTGTACAGGACCCCTTGCGTTTCAGATGTCTCCCATTTTTGCTGGAGCATCCTGTATAAATCTATAGTCGGTACGATTTGTGATGGCATAGTCAGCAATAAAATAGATTGTTCATCTTGCTTCTACTTATACTTCAACAAATGTTGTTCCGCCCTAAATGTCTATCTGATCAACACAGGACAGCCGTCACTAACGATCGCAATTGTAATGGGTGTTTTTTTCGATGTATAGAAATTTAGAATGGCATTACTGTTCAAGATGGCGACCGATTTAACAGCTGTCAAGTGATTTATTCTCAGTTTGGTTTGGCGATTCATCTTGAATAGACTCACGCCTGAACAATGCTTGCAAATAGTGCAATTTTATTTCGAAAATAATGGTTCTGTGCGGAATACCTATCGCGCACTACGCTCAATTTATCGCCGACAAAATCGTCCATCAGAGCAGTTAATTAGATTAACCATGGAACGTTTTCGCACCACGTTTACTTTTATTGATAACTCGCATCCCCAGACACGCCTTACGGTGCGTACAGAAGAAGCTATTGCTGCTGTAGAGCGTAGCATTTTGGAAGACCCGAATGAGTCCATCCGCCATCGAGCACCGGAATTGGATCTGTGTCCATCCACTTTATGGAAGATTTTGCGGAAGGATCTTGGTTTACGTGCTTACAAAATCCAACTCGTGCAAGAATTGAAGCCAAACGATCATCAAGTAAGGCGTAGATTCGTCGAATCGACCCAAAACGAAATTGCCGTTGTTCCCGATTTTCACAAGCGAATTTTGTTTGGAGCGAAGCTAATCCTCAAGTGTATGTCGAAACACCATTACATCCAGAAAAACTGACTGTTTGGTGCGCTTTATGGGCTGGTGGAATCATTGGTCCGTACTTCTTCAAAAACGATGATGGCCAGAACGTTACAGTCAATGGTGATCGGTATAGAGCTATGATTACTAACTCTTTCATTCCTGAATTGAATAACCATGATGTCCAGGAGATGTGGTTTCAACAAGACGGCGCAACATGTCACACAGCTCGTACCACAATCGATTTATTGAAAGACACGTTTGGTGACCGCCTAATTTCACGTTTTGGACCTGTGAATTGGCCTCCAAGATCTTGTGATTTAACACCGCTAGACTATAAGCCACAAACGTATGACCATTTGAAAGACAATATTCGCCTAAAAATGAAAATAATAACAAAAAGCAAAAAAATTAATAAATATATCACATAGTTTGTATTTGGGAAGAAACATCTTCATATCAGAGCCTAAATTGAAATTGTTATATCCGTATTCTCTTTTTCCCATTATACTTTTATTATATTTTGTGGTATGTGTTATACTACTATACTAATTTTCTTTGGTAACGACCTGGAGAGCTGCCTTCCAAACAGATATTATTGCCTCACTTATGAGCCCACACCAATTCTATGGCATTAAACATGCAATGTTTTTAGCAATTATTGTATACACCTTCTCTCTTGGTTTTATGACAGACTATGCTATCGCAAATATATTGAAGCTATTCCGACAATGAATAATAATAATTTTAGGAATCAATTCAATCAATCAAGGAGTCAAAGATACTTTTTTTTGGACATTCTTGTCACATATCAAAAACAGAGTATTTGGATTAGTAAAAAGCATTTTAGTATCTAGCGGGTGGTAATTTTTTGAAAGTCTTACACTATTTAGTCACCCCAAACTTTTTCGTGGAAAAGCTTTTAGTTGTCGAAGCATAAAATTCACCCTTTAATTTTGAAACTTTTATGGGGCTTGCGTTTTTTCAAAAAATTGCCCGTTTTCGAAATATATTGGTCAATTAAAAATCACGTTTATGTATCTACATTATTTCCAACTAATTATTTTTACAATTTTGGTAACAAAGTGAGATGTTTACAGGAACTTTTTTTCAAACTGCCCTTAAGTATTAATGAGTCAGCCGATATAATATGTTACCAAGTGAAGGTAAAAATAGTTCCTGTTTTCCTGTATTCCTAACTGTTCTGTTTTGATTTGTGCGTTGACTACATTATAGAGTGATGTTATTTTACATTTTGTAATTGCCAGAAGAATAAAAAAGTGTTGATTGATTTGAAATTATTAATTGAAATGATTTAGCACATTTTAGGCAGACGCCAAAATTGGATTACCGAAATACCATTTTTAACTCATCCTTGTTGAGCGAAAATGTATAAACAAAAATCACATGTGTTTTTTAACGTGATTATTGGGAAATCGCGACCATTATCAAATTACGGGATATTTCAATTAAATGTAGACCAAATTAAAACTCTGTTCCCGTTCGGGCTTGCATATAATGTAATTGAAAGTGCTTTATGAATAGAAACGGAATGGGAACATCTAAATGTACCACTTACAAAATAAATCAGAGTAGATTAGAGAATTTGTTACTGGAAATTAGATTTTTTTATATCGTATTTCTCGATCAAACTGTAAGGCAATTCATCGAATGTTTAGAAAACCCTGTCGGACAAAAACGGTTCGCTGTATTATCGTACTTTTTTTTGTTTCGCTTTCCTCGCGATGTGCGGTGTCAGTGTATTATTATAGTAAGTATGGCGTTATTATAAGTTAATTGAAACAATATCGTTTATACCGGTGACTTACAATTACTATGCGTGTTTATTTATCTTAATTGCTCGTTGCTGATTTTTGGGTCGATAAAGATAATATAGAAGGGTATCTGAAATTGAATATAAAACATGCTCTTCTATTCCCTAAGAACCTAACATTATCAATATTAGTTATGTGACTAACTTATTACCCCCATACCCGACAAGAAAGGTAGCCTGGAGGTGTATTTTATTGTAAATCTTGCTGGCAGCTGTCACTTATCAATATTTTTGTAAACAATGGTGAAGAGGTGATATGTTTCAGTACTCGATTAAGAACATAGTATTCGTTTTTGCCACATACGTTTTTTTATGCCTCGATAAAAGCCTTTGCCGACAGAAGCGACGTGTTTTCACTACTTTTTTTACAATTGGAAAAGAAAAGTTTAAAAAAATCCATAAAGTGTACCTTGAGTAATCGCAATTCTCTCAAGGCGGCTATTAAAATTAGATCGCATTATGAAGAATCTAGGAAAAACCTATCTATTTAAATGTACTACAACACAAGAAGTAAAGTAGCTATTTATTTTTGAAGGAAACGCCGAATTTTCTTTTATTTCGCTTATCCAATCCAATCTCTACAATTTGCATCTCTACAAAAGCATCGAGCTTTCTTCAATAGTTTTCACATTATATATAAAAACCGAAAAAAAGAACACTATCGCTAACAAAGACAAATTCAAAGAGCGCCAAGGTTATTATCACAGTACAAACAAATTAATACCTAATCATCTAACAATCTGGAGGGTTGTATGCATCGAGATGTCAGTTGAGAAGAGCCCTCAATGAAAGTTGTTTTTGATATTTAACTCAGCTTTATCTTTTGATATAATTTTCATACGTATAAGTAACTTTATTTGTTTTCTTATTTCCTTTTATTTAACGAGATCGACGAATCGAATATTTGCATTTGCCGTAGTTTAGTTTGTTATAATTATAACCGGAAATATTTTTTTGAGCATCTGAGGTAGACAATAAACAAATGGCCAAATTGTTTATAAGAGTAGCAGCTGCGAGTAGGATTCACGTAATAACGTAATAAATAACGCGCGAGAACGTTAATTTTTCCCAAAAACTGTTTCCTTGCCCAAATATTTGAAGTGCAATTTACATGTAATTTCTATTTTTAGAGCCTTGCTATCGCTCATTGTCGATCAATAAACCGCCAATTAATTTTATAAATCAAGTTATTAATTAATAATCCCGCGAAAGCGCCACGGAAACGCAAAAAAAATTATCGCTCAGAACGATCGAATCTTAAAAGTAAATATCAAGCGAAATATTTATCAGCTTACGTACTGCTTTATCTATTAGTATCGCATAATAATTCTAAGATAACAGGTGTAGTCTATCTGTAACGATGTTGATAAATTTTACACAATTGGACGTGGAAAATCTACTTAGGTGAAACCAACGCGCCTTGTGTCTCCTAGTATCGAAACGATGGCCGAGTTCAGCGAAATCGTCAGTCAGACGAAGGTAAGAGACTTGATATTCGCTTTCGAAAGGCAGAGCAGTTCTTTGGCATCGTCCGACGAAGGGTTTGCTCGTCCCAGAGCGAAATCCACGGGAAACGCCCTGACGTACAAGATTTTCCGCCAGCCGAAGCTGGAAATTCACGATATATCCGATATCGAAACTGAATTGGTGAAAACGGAGACCCATCTGAATTACTACGAAATATACGATAAGGAAACTCACATCGCGTTCCAAGAGCAACTTTTCGATATAATCACCGGTATAGTGAAGATTGATGGTCGCGGGGATGAGCGGATAGCCGAAAAGAAAAAGCAGTTCATCGAGCAAGCTCAGAAGTTAGCCAAAGTGCTAAACGGCAAGTTACCCTTTGATAATCAGAGGAAAGGGACGAAAAAAGTCTACGCTGCAGTTGTTAGGAAACAGGATCAATATGTGGCGAAAACCCAAGAGTATCCATCTGAAGTTAACAGTTCAAGATCGGCAGAAGGCACCCAAAGTCCAGTTCCATCGTCCGTCTATGTCAGCTCTGAATTGGAAAATTCAAATGAGACCGTTACTCAAAGTGATGGTGTTTCTCAGAATTCTGTAGTTTCTCCAAAAAGCGGAGCTGGAGAGGTCGATTCCAGTTTTCTGCCGTCCGTGAAGAAACTCAAAGCGTTCTTCAGTTTCCGACGACAACCAGAGGATAAACCCAAGGTTTCCACAACCGTCACCCGTTCGCGATCCATGCTTTGGAAAACCAAGTACAGAGAAGAAAGACATAGTTCAGCCACGTCCCATTCAGAAGCATCTAACGACCTACCGGAGGAGATAGACGAAACGGAAGAGGACACTGATTCCCTAACGTATAATGAACCTTCGAAGGAAACCCAAGACTTTAGAGTTGATGTTGAGGAAGTGAAACACAACGTGTCAGTTTTGAAGCTTAAAAATTTATTTGAAGGCAAATCTCAAGATACTTCGCAAGGTAAGCTTAGCGCCAAAAGCTATTAATCTACGAAAACAACGATAATGTTATCTTAGAGAGAAACGTTCTAGGTCTCGAGATATTTGCAAAGAAACAAACTGATGCGATCGCCATACCTTATACGGAGATGAACTTGGGAGCTTTTAGATTGAAGAGGAGTCTATCAGGAAGCTACATGAACTATGTTGGACTACTAAACAAAGTCGACCTTAGTAAGAGCGTATCTGATTTGAGTAGTCGGAAAGAAGACGAGCTTGACGACGAAGAATCGAAACCTAGCGGAGTGCACGAAACGCCAGGTCCAGGAACTAGTAAGTCGGTAGGTTTCCAGAATATTTGTTTTATGTTGGTTTATATTTGTTCTAGTTTCGGATTCGGTCAACGGGGTGGTGTCCATCGGAACCGATATTGGTCAAAGTGAGCAATTTTAATTTTTAAAGCGTCATTTTTGCTAGACTTTTTATTTTAGCTACGACGGATGATAAACAGGTCACAAAGATTGAACCAGAAAATATATCTGAGGAATTAAATTCACCCTTGATATCTGCCAAAGGTATATCGTGTCATATATTTGCGTGTTGTGCGTTTTCCTGACTTGTTTTTTCAGAAACATCAAACCTACTTGTAGAAGATCATTCTAAGCTCACCGCTTCTGCCTCAGGTAACTATACAATTACATTAACAATATATAACTTAGTATAAAATGTTTAGCAACTACTAGCAAAAAGGTTCAATTGCTAGTCTCATCAATAGAGAGTAGAAGTCAGGACAGCGTGGCCCAAACTCCGCAACCAAAAGAACCGTCTATTTCGGCGCCTACTAATTTGACGGTTCATAAACTCGTATCTTCAATCGAAAAGCAACACACCACTCAAGTTGTTGAACAACCAAGCGAATACTCACTGTATTGGGATAATAGTAAACTATGTCTCACGAAGCACTCACGTCTTTAACAAATATTTTTTAGCGCAAACAGTTAACAACGTACGGGATTTATTTTTAGAGAGCCAAAACACAAATGAAATGTCTTCAACCGTCGAACACATATCTGAAACATCAAATGGTATTCCAGGAAGTGTTCAAGTGATCGAAGAACCAAGAGAATATTCATTGCTATCTGAAAGCGGTATATGGACACTTGCTGGTTCGAGCTAGCTTATTCGTTCATATCTTTTAGTAGAAACTAACAGTGTAGCTAACGCGACATCGTCAATTGAGACTTCTCATCCTGATAGTACGACCAAAGAAACCGACGCGTCCTTAATCGAGTCCAGTAACCAAGAGTTGCGACAAAGTTGTAAGTGCTTTCGTTGCTAACAGGTTGGTATCAACTCGGGTTTTCGTTGGTTTTTAGTATCTTCCAGCAATCATAATGTCGAAGATAAAGTTGCTATCATTGAAGATTGTGAAACTCAGAAGCCGCCTGTTGTAGAACCAAGCCTTGAAAGTCCTCCCCACTCACAGGGTAAATGTGTATGTGTACAGATTTCTATGCATACATTTGATATTTTTAGATGAAGTCGTAAATCTTGTACAGGAAATTGTATCATCAATTGAGAGCCAATCAATTGGCGCGCAAGTGGAACATTCCGTTCATTCTCAGGGTATGCGTATGAGTTGAAAATGCCGCGTACATTTGGTAGGATTATTGTTTCAGTGTCCATTAGCCACAACGTAGAACATATCGTTAGGTTAATAGAGAGGCGCGTGAGTGAAAACGAAGGAGTTTTGCATACTATAGAGAGATCTGAGGATGGTTATTTAGCAAGTCGGGGTCGTAAGTGGTGCACATATAGAAGAAAATTCCTCACAAAGAAATTTTAGTTTTAGACGATTCTGCTAGCGGAATTCAAGAGGCCGGAAGGTCTCGTGTAAATAGCGCTGGCCAAAGTGAAGGAGCGACTTCCGAAAGTAATGATATAGAATCTAAGAAGGATTCAGTTTCTGAGAAGGTGGAAAATGGTGGTGATTTCATAGATACCAATGGTAATTTAAGTGTTGCTCAGGTTACCACACACTCTACGGAACTAAAGTCTCAAACGAGTATGTACTACTTTTGTTATCATCAACAAATATAACCAAAACATTTTCAGCTACATCTACGCAGCACTTCCATACAAGTTCCCATAGTGTAGTGGGAGCAGCAGTGGTAAAGAACGGTAAGTTTTATTATCCAAGTCGTTTTGTTGACTACGTTATTTCAATATTTATCACTAAAGATTTATTGATTGTAGATCACGCAGAACGACCAGAGCATATTGAATCGTCGAGAACCAAAGAAAACGAAGATGATGTCAATGCGAACGAAAGACGCAAAATTGAATATGCCGCTAGTAACGATAACATCGTGATTCAAGGCAGTTACATTGAAAATTTTAAAGACCTCGAGGAAGAGATCTTTAAGGAGGCCGATACACTGGAAAATGTCGATGAAGAGTTTGAAAAATTGTTGCGTGAAAACAACGAATGAAAAAAAAAAAAAACTAGAGCGTTTTAATTATTTTTAGTGATTGTTAATTTAGACGTAGGTCCTTTCGTTATGTTCTTTTGTTATATTTTATAGTCAGTATTGCATCGTTTTTGTATATTATTTGCGGGGTAATAAATTTTATTTTACCCATAGTGATATTGTTATTTATTTATTTAATGCTTCCGTCGTTCTTGGGTTGAGGTTGTCCAATAAAATAAAAAATATTTAAATTTTTATGTTTTATTCAACGTGTCAAACACAATACATCAAAATATTACATAAATTAAATATTTTATATAAACATATTTGCATCTTTTGATGTTATTTTAAATCAATATTGTTATTTTTATATTACAATTTTATGTTAAGTACGTGAAGGGAAAATGTTCAGCCGAACAAAGAGGATACTGACAAAAAACCTAATCATTTGGAACATGGTGCGGAATAGGTATTCCTTCCTTCCTGTATCAGCATCACGGCTACCTTCACTTTTGATACTGCTGATCTAAATAATTTAACTGACGATAGGCCAAACCATTCTCGAAGATTGCTCATTCACGAGATTCTTCGACGACCTACACTTCGTCTACCTACAATTTTCCTTTCAATATGACTTTCAGCAGCTCATATCTTGTACCGCGTGATATGTCCCATGAACTCGAGTTTGTGCTTTTTAATGGTAAAGAGTATTTCGAGTTCTTTGCCCTTTCTTCCTAACACATCCACGACACTCTCAGTGTCTATAGGTTCACATTTCAAAAGCTTCCAACCTCCTTGTGGTTTCTCTATTCAGCGTCCACCCTTCCAAGTCATAAAGCATTACGGGAAACACATAGCATTGGACCATTTTTGTTCTTACTGTTAGTGATAGGTCCGGAGCCGTCAATAGTTTTTTCATTTTTATGAAAACCTTTCTTGCCTGTTCAATGCTTCCCAAGATTTCCTGTTTATGTTGACGTCTTCATTAATTATGGTGCCAAGGTATTTGTAGGGTCTTACTTGTTCAATTGTTTTCCCGTCTACGATGAGCTGACCTGGAATAGGTATAGGTAACTCTAAAACAGAAATAAGCTTTGGAAGTTTGCGAGTTTGAAAAGGTGAATGTTTACTGCCTAATTTTTGACTCCCTGTATAAAATTAGAAAACAACAATTACAAAACCGTGAAATTAAGCTTCCTTTTTAAGATTTTGCTAAATTTTCAAAAACTCGAAAAATATGCATTTTCAAAGGTGGTTAAGCTAGAGCCACAATTTTTTTTTCACTGTCAAATATTTACTATACATTTACATACATTTATTATAAATAAAAATTTCACAGAGAATCTCAAAATTTCATTTAAAATAAACAGTTGAAGGCGACCCCCGGTTGAACTGGAAGTGAAAGAACTTTTAATGGACGGGTTGGGTGAAAGACCCTGTATATATAAAAAGTTGAAGAATAAAAAGGAACTGTTATTTATTTATATACCACGTGGCGTAAAAATTTAATAATATTGAATGAATTTAATAATAAATTGAAATATTGTTTGTTTAATATAATAATATATGCAATGTTTTTCGTTACTACAACATATTATTTGCACTTCTCAGCTGACTTTAAATTTTAAATGAAAAACCCCGTATAGTTTTTCTTATTTTGATGTCCCTTTTTAGTTCGTTTTTCTTTAACATAAAGTTCATTTATATTGAAGTTTTGGTATGAAATTGTTGCAAAAGTCACATAGTGTTTTCTCATACGTATCATAATAATTTTGTTTTGTTTGTCTCAGTAGGGAACTATTTTGTGTCTCCAGGATATTATTTATTCAGTCACTCACGTTATACGCCAAGGGATATGTGCGTAAAAGATTTTTCTAATTTTTTATTAGTAATTTATTTTAGTATCCAATATATTGTCTACGACCTCAGTTGTATTGCTTTATTACTTTTTAATTTTATTATCTTTATTTTCTTATTATACAGCTTTCTCTATAGTAAAATATATTTTATTTATGTTATTTATATTTTTTTCAAAGTGTATTATCATATTTTTTGTTTCGACAATTTGCTTTATTTGTTTTCCTGTCGAGTTTTGTTTTTAAGTATTGGGTGCTTTGTACATGTGTTGGTTCTACGAACATGTTCCTTTTATCTCGGGTTTTTAGCCTCTTACCACCCGATTTAACATACAACGAGATTATACAACTCGGCATAAGTCAAATATTTTATTGATTTCGTAAAATTTCACGTAAAACACAAGCACAGACACGGCAACTTCTAAAACGACACTGCTGAGTTATTGAAAAAGAGCCGAAAGGGTTTTTCTTCGTCCGTGCGCTCGACATTCCGCAATCGGTAAAAAAAATCTACGTGAAAAAATTAATCAACGGATCGAACTAGAATTAAACCTATTTGCGGAGTAAATTTAAAGTCCGGCGACTTTAAAACTGCCGTTTGATTAATAAGTAGCGTTAATGAAAAAGTTACGCTACACAAAAGTTCATTCAAAAGGCTTATTTATAACGGGCAAAGTTTTTTTCTGTAGATCAAGCCGAGGGTCCTAATTTAGATACCAAAAAGCAATCAGCCGGATTTGCCTGAAGTGCCTCCCGTTGGAATGGATATTCCGAAGCAGACGTTCGATTTTTCTTCCCTCGGTATTCAGACAGATTAATGAAAGAAACACCACGTCACTCTTATTGTCAATTAATTAGAGAAATAGCGACGTAAAGGAGACGTGCGGCAAAAACAGACACTAAGTGGAAATCGATGTTGCCGATTCATCGGGTTATTTGTTAATTTTTTTGGTATATTTATATTTTACCTTTTTTGCTTTGCTAATAGATAGAGTTCTTGGAAGAACAAAAAGAAGATTTAGAGAATTACATCAGAAAAAATCAAGATATACTTGAACTTCTTTTGTTATTAGCAAAAATCTAAATCATTATTATTATTACCTAAAGTTTCGGTATTTAAATTCAGGTAAAATTGTGGTCCGTAATAGGTATACTAGTTAGTTTAAGTTTATTAGTAATCATTCTTTTTTCGAGTGTGTTGAATCGTGTGCGAATTATGCAAAATATGTGCGAGTCTAGTGTATCTCAGGAGATGCTCCCGCCCAAATGTAATACAACTGGAATATCTATAAAAAATTAGGATTTACATAGAACAACAAAAGCCAATTATTTACTTGGGTGAAACCTGGTTCGACACTTATGATACCCCGAAAAACGGTTGGATTGACTCAACTGATAAGTGTAAAACAAACGCGCCATCAAAATGAGGTAAAAGAATAACTATTTTGCATGTTGACTCTAAAGATGGTTGATTCCAAATGGACTTTCTCTGTCTGCGAAAAATATTATAGATTCTTCTCTGGATTACCATGAAGACACCACCGCTGATTTATTTGAAAGTTGGTTTAAAAACAAACAAACATTCCTCCCAATAGCGTAATTGTAATGGACAATACAAAACCCTTTCCTCATGTGACACAAAAGCAACAATCCAAAACTACATGTATAATAACGACATTTATTTTCACGAAGATTATACCAAAAAGCAATTAATTGAGGTTCGACAAAGCTTGAACCTACAAAAGGAATACGTCTGTGATAATTATGCAAAAAATCTAGGGCATACAGTTTTAAGGCTTCCTTCCACCTTACCACTGTATATTTAATCCCAATGAACATTTTTGGCACCAACTGAAATCTGTCATTCGTCGTAACAATGTCGTAACAATGTCCTCAAACTTATAGAAACCGAAGTTTTTAACATCCCTCCACAAAGTTGGGCAAATTCTGTTAAACATATAGAAAAAGCAGAACAATCGTATATCCATATTGCAAATAATATAGAACAAATAATAATTAGAACAGGCGATGATAGCGATGGTGGTACTGATATATTATGTGAATAATTTTAAGCAATTTAAGTAGGTAATAAAAATAATTTGTAATTTTATTTTAGATTTAAACATAAATACATACCTAAATAAATAAATATTGTTTATTATCTTTCCTAACAAAACCCCAAATAATTAAATTCCAAGCACGGACCTGTTCGGCGATATTTTATTCTTACAGCTTGCCCGGGTCTTTCTTATTTCTATGAACAGACTTTACCAAGGTATTTGTCATCTAATACCGCCAATAAATAACATCAATATTATGACAATAATATTAAAAAAGTTTTTCAAAGAACTTCCACAGCCTACTTTTTTTTTTTTTTGTTGAGTCGAACTAGCTAACGTTTCGCCAATCATCCTGTTGGCTTCTTCAGAGTTTGATTGAAACTGAGAGCTTGGCGACAGTCTAAGTAAAACTTTTGTGTAGACCAAACATGTTGTTCAAAAGAAAATATTCGATAAATCTCACTTCTAAAGCGCCAAAAGAGTTGCAAATGACGGTTCAGTTAATGTAACAATGTAATGTAAACAAAATGTATTTTTTGCTTATCACAAATGTTAACCTAGGTTCTAGACGATAATCGGCAGTTGTTTGTTTTGCAGTAAGTACTTTAGACCCTTTAACCACCTTTATCAGCGTGACGCAATTTAGTTTCGATTTTCGTTCATATTTTTTTTCTTTATTTATTGATAACACGGTGGAATGTGGATGAATAACAAAGAGCTTTATTTTATTGAAACCAGACCTAAAAAAATGAACCGCGAGAGGTAAAAAATTTAAAAATTAATCAAAAGTGCTAATTTGTTATTCTCTGCTTGTGGCTCTTTAATAATAATAATTCTCTTTTACATATTCCTTTCACATGATTAGTATTTTGTTCCATACAAGTATGCAATATAGTGTTGTAGTTATCAGCCATCAAGAATTTGAATGTTAATAGTATATTATGCAACAAGTGCGGTAAATCTCATTTGATTGACGAGTTTATTTGACACGAGCGCAGCACAGCGGAATGAGTGTTTAATAAACGACTGACTTTAAAAGTTTACCGGACATGTTGCATACTATACTTTTTCTACGACAGTTAGTTTTTGGGTATATTTTCGCAAAACAACACTAATACATTCACTGACATGACCGTCAGAAAATATTCGAAATGTCCAAAATGGCTCCGATTCGGGGGAAACTAAAGTAGTAAACTAACGCTTCCCGCACACTAGATCGGTGTGTAA